AACAGTGTTTGTATGACTCCTGATAAAGTTGCATCAGCTTATAAACTACCTGGAAGATTATAAAACAACCTTTGTGCGCAGTTAGAAACAGAAAGACTTTCCTCACATCTGTCAAAGTTCCTCTTTTCTCCGCCTGCAATCAAGTCTCCAGCCCCACTAGAAGTGGACCAGAGCCTCCTACAGAGCAGCACCTACCCGATGAGCTCCAGCAGCAGACTGTTGAGGCTGACCCCCGTTGAGCTCTTCGCTCTCATCAGCACGAAGATCTGCGGAAACTTCAGCACCATGCACATAAACAGCGTGCTGAAGTTGGCGATGTGCAGCAACAGGTCGGACTCCATGCTTCCGAAATATAGGAACTTTCTATCTCTTTTAAATCTTTCTTTATTCTGCTTTAACTACTGTAATACTAGCTTCCAGATGCTGCCGTGATGCAAACACTGTGAAGGTACTTATGCTGTAACAGGAAGTTAGGTGTAAATGTTTCAAAATAAAGTTGGTAATTAACCTTCTATGCTCGCTAAGATGCTGTTATCAGGAATTGTATGACTCTCTAAATAAAATAGAAGTTTTCAAAATATTTAATTAACCACAAAAACAGTGTTATTCGTAATATAATAAAATAATCAAAGAAAATATGCTTTTAATGTGAAATAAATGTGGCTTACTTCCGGTGATGTAATGTAAAATTGACAGCTTCCTGTCGACACCGGCATCATTTTTTCATTTCCGCGTATATCCTCTGAAAGCTGATTGGTTCTGGGTCAACCATAGGGTTTGAAACCTGGTTTGGAAAAGTAACGCAGCTTTACTTTCGATTCTACTGAAGAGTTTATGATGGAAGAGAAAAAAAAAAGATTTCCTGGATTATGTTTGCACTTATAGGTTAAAAATAAATTTAAAGCTAAGTCTGCTAAAACTCAGAAATATATATATATTTTTGATATTTGCTCTAGTTATGATGTTAACTAATTTCATTTAGGGTTTAAAACATATTTTCTTCACTGTCTTATTTTTTATTTTACTTTGAGAAATATTTTTTTTTCACAATAGTTAAGCAGTATTGTACTTTTATTTATTATTAATTTTGTTGTAGATACAACTCCAGGAAGAAATATAAGCAATTAATACACCTTCCCTAATGTTTTAATTGTTTTGATACAGCTTTTAATTACGTTTCTGCACAGTACCTTACTATTTGTTTGTTTTTCTGTTTGATTTAAAGAACAAATTATTATGATTTTTAAGTTTCCTAATTAATGATCTTTTAGCATTTTCTGTACAGATTCAATATTTTATTTATTTCTATCTGATCTTGTATTAAAACGTATTGCCTTTTACATCTTGGTAACAAGTTTGATTCCAACCAATCATTATAAGAGTCCTCTTTTCAGCATTGGATGGGATCAAACTGGAATATGAAACATAAACCCAACAAAAAGTTTCCCAAACAGCTTTAGGTTTAAAACGTGGCATGCAGCGAATGATCAATGAACAGTGATGCCAATCCAGTTACAGGTCTTTGGAGAGACTTCCAATTTTCTTTAAATGATTGTCTTTTAAATGTTGTTTTCACTACTTTTACACCCTCCCTCCAACTTTTAAAACCATGGTGCAGGAACATCCAAATAAGTCAGAAATGTAGGAGTTTGCTTTACCTAAATATTCACAGACCATGTCAAATAAAATAATATTTTTCATAATATGAGGTATATTAGAGAGTTATATAGAGAGAATATGATACAGGGCTCAAGGTTTTTAAAAAACACCCTTTGATGTCTCTAGTTGAACCAGTTTACCAGGTAAATTATACCCATATGCATGTAGTTGAGAAGAAGGACTAAAGAGGCTTAGTTTATTAAACTACATCCTGGTTTTCATACGGAACTCTGTTCTAATTTGGAAAAGGTTTAGTATGCTAAAACTACAAAACCATAAAGCTGTGGCAGGCCAAGTAAACCGAGGATGGTGCAGATGGAGTAATAGATCAGCAAAGCAGCCAAAATGCCCATAGGAAGTGCATGGATCCACATTTAAGTTGAAGTATCTGTTAATAGAACGCTGATTAGTTTTTTGCTTCCTAATTCTGAAATTTACGGAAGAGTGATGGAAGGAAATTCATTTTTTAAATGAGGCATTTGGAGAGGCTCTAGCTTTTATTTGGCTACATTCCAGAGGATATGTAGATATTTAGAGGAAGACAAAATATCTGGTCTGATGAAACTAAAAATCCAATTTTCTGAGAAAGGCTACATACAAAATCCCCCAGAGTGTCCAATCCCTACAAGTAGAAGCAAAAGCTTTCATGTCAGTATCAGCATTGCAGTGGAAATGTTATTTAAACAAAGACAAGCTGGTGAGAGCTAATGGGAATAGGGATGGAGCTAATCACTCCTTTGAAGCTAAAAATTTAAAGCGAAATTGAACATTCTAATAAGACAACCAAAAATATTCACCTAAAGTCATAATGGAATAACTTAAAATATTATTAACAATTGGTGATAATAATTGAAACATGAAATCCAAAGCTGATCTCTTTACGTTATCATTTAATTAAAATTATTCTGGTCAGAAGAAAATGTTGATCAAGGTTTAGATAGACTTTCAGATGGATTGCAAGTTTTTTTTCTCTAGTAATGACTCTGGGGATGGATCCACACCCACACTGCAGTTTTTAAAAATAAAAAAATTTGAAAATTTGTACCATTTTTTCTTCAGTTTCAAGTTTACCTTTTGATTCCTGCCGGTTTATCACATAATCGTTCAATAAAAACTGTTAAAGATAGTTTCTGTGTTGTTAAAATGTGCAACAGCAAAGTTTTATTTGCCTTACAGTTATACAGCTACCTTGCAGTTAATGTTTGCTAATTTTCTTGCATTCCTATGAATCTGCATACTTTCAACAGTGAGCGGATGAGGTGATACAACCTTTCAGTTGTCCAAATAAGCTCAGGTGTCTGTTTAACCACTCGACAGAGCTCAGATTACATGAAACTGATCTGTCTGGATCCTATTTTCTGAGGATGCAGTGGCATACTTTTTTAAATTCCTGTGGTTAATGTCAAATGATAATCAAGAAATAATAGAATGCAAAAATGATTTTGGACCATTTATTGGCTTTATAAGATATCCAGGTGCAGACCCCTGCTTTGGTGACACATCCTGGCTTTAACAAGGCTGCAGCTCCAGGTCTGGCTTCATCCTGCGTCTGTGGCTTCCAGACCAGAGAATCAACCTGTCCCGTCTGACCATCTCCCTCCCCAGAGGTGTGAACTGTCTGTTCCCGTAAATCTGATTGGTGGTGTTGGGTGAGCTATCAGAGAAGACTGAGATGTTGTTGGGTAAAGATATCTCTTCCCTTGGCCCACCCTGCAAACATCCATATGGGGAGTGGAAAAGATAGTCATGCATTAATAGAAAACATCATTGTGGATTTAAGTGTTGAGGAAAGCAATATTTGTTTTTGCTTACCAGAGTATCAGATTTTAAAAGAAAGTCCCAGGTCTTCTCCCTGTGGACCACAGCTTCTTGATTAAAGTGATAACTTGTTTTTTAAAATAGAGTGATCTAAGTTGGTTAATCTTTTTTTTGCCTTTCCACACATCAGCTCACCATTGCTGTGCTTGTCTCCTCTCTCTGCACACTAAATCTTTCCACAGTTCGTCCTGTTTTACCGCATTTTTCCTGGACCTATCATGTTCCGCTGGATCCTGCTGCGTCCTGCGGTCTCCTGCTGCGGGGCTCGATGCGGGCCTGATCTCCTTTGGTCGCTGCGAGACCCGGCGGCCTGCTGAGGACACCTGTCTGACGCCGGTCAGGTCCATTGCTACGGACACGCGACTGTTTAGAATGGAAGTGGACACAAATCACGGACGGGTTTTTGTTTACGTTTCCATGGAAACCTTTGAAAAAAGAAGCTGACGTAGGCTACTTCATCAGACGTAGCTGGCAGATGCGTTACCAGCCTATGTAGGAGGCCTGTTTGTTTGTTGATTCTTCATTAGCTCTAATAGAACTACTACTACTACTATTACTACTACTAATAACAAATACTTTTGTGTAGGCTTAAAAATGTAACTTATCGATTTTAGGGCGTCAGTGACTACAGTAAAATATGCAGACAATAAAATAACTTTTTTGAATTATTATTATACTGTGCTTACATTTCAAAAAAACATAAATATTAGGGGGTTATTTCACAATTTTTTAAATACCGTAACTCGATTAACTGATTAATTTAGTAAATGGATGGAAGTACCTGTATGTATTTAATCCAATTAGTTTTTTTTTTTTGTTTTATTTGGTGTAATTATAGAGTTAAATTAAACTTGTAGGATCTTTGTGCTTGTCTTTAGTTAAGTCTGTATTTATTATTTTCGGAATTCTGTGCTTTTATTTCGGCACCGGAAGTCATCAATGCGAGCTTTTATTCTGAAGGGTAAATGCCAAAACAGGAAGCATTGGGAGTGAGGGAAACATAATCCGCTAGTCCTAGCTCTGTGGGCATTTTACTGATGAACTGAAACCAACCACTGAAACCAGGTAAGGTTAATATTTATCCACTATATTTGTTCTACACATATCCGTTATTTACCCCACATTTGAATTAGCTGCTGCTCGAGCTGGGAGTTAGTATTTTCCAGGGTAAAAGACCATCCTTGGTTCGCTGTGTGTTCCTCTAATTTAAGGATACAACTGAGGAGTGTGGAAAAGGACTTGACCAACTTCTTTCCTGCATATTTTCAGTAGAAGCACAGAGTCCTGAATGCTAACTCTAACTAGGTATATATGATGCAGCATTAGCATAAAGTTCAGCTTTTATAGTTGAAGGTGAGCAGCTAACCTAACGGCTAACCGGCTAACCTACAGAGAAACTTGAATCCTTGACCTGCAGGAGAACAGGCAATGAGAGGCCACTTTTAATTCAATTAGAGACAGAGACAGACAGACAGATTTGTCATTTTGTTACACAAGTGTAACACAAAAAGAAATTTCGTTTGGAAATAGCTCACTGGACAATTTCATTTTTTTAAAAGTGCAGCCTTGAAAAATGGTAAAAATGACTGTAAATTTACAGTTCTAACATTTTTCAATTTATTTCTATAGCACCATTTCACAACACATGTCATCTCAATGCCCTTTACAGTTCACCAGATCATCCAATCAAATTGATTTAAAGTTTTCTATCTAAGGAAAACCAGTTAATTGCATCTAGTCATTGACTTGAATGCAATCCCTCACACTAAGCATGCATGTTGTGACAGTGGAGAGGAAAAACTCCCTCTTAACAGCAAGAAACCTCCAGCAGAACCAGACTAAGTGTAAGCAGCCATCTGCCGAGGCCGACTGGGGTTCAAGGAGACAGAAGCAGAGATACTAATGAGGCAACACCTTCAGTTCCTGCTGCTGTGTTGGCAACTTCGAGTTCATGAAAAAGAATAATATAAAAATGAGATAATAATCTCAATCCAATGCCTTATTCTAAGCTGATTGAGTATAGCATGAATTATTTTGACCAATGTTTTTTTTTTACAGGTGTTGTCAATTATCCCTGTTAGAGCAGATAGTATTATGATGGGGGAGTAAAAATAGGGGTGCACCGTGCAGGTTTCTGGCCAATCACCATTTCCCAATCTTTTTTAATATGAGAATCAGAAGTTTATTGCCAAGTAAGTTTGCACTTACAAGAAATTTGACTTGTGTTGGTGCAGACAAATTAGATATATATAAAGAATACAGAATCCATAACTATATCCAATATAAAACATACAATATACTATATGCAATATATAGTATATAGCTTTATACTATATACACAGTAGGCTCTGCCTTAATTTAAAGCAGAAGATCTGGAGATGCCACGATGGTGTAGCTCCTAGGTCCTGAATGGGGAGGGAGAGAGGCAGTGTCAGGTGTCACCGGGGTCTCTGGGCCTTGTTGGTTTTGGTCCTGCCAGAGTGAAGTGTCTGAAATAGTTTGTTGCTGGGGTGGCGAGGGATCAGCCATAATCTTCCATGCACACCTCAGAGTCCTGCAGGCATACAGGTCCTGGAGAGATGGAAGATTGCAGCCAATCACCTTCTCTGCAGACCGGATGACATGCTGCAGTCTGCCTCTGTCATTGCTGGTGGCATCAGCTTAGCGGATTGTGATGGAGGAGGTGAGGACGGACTCAGTGATGGAGGAGTAGAAGTGCACCATCATTGTTCTTGGCAGGTTGAATTTTTTCGCCACTGTCAGTTTTTATAAGATTACAAAACTTACCATCTTACTGTGGGACACTAATCAGTTCCTGTAAAACAATAAAAACGTCTAAAATAACTGCTCTCAAATATAAATAAATGTTTAGAGCATTGATTTTCAGACCTTTGCAGAGGTAGATAAGATCTGTGGAAATTGTTGGTTTCAAACCTAAATATCGGCCTATCACCGATAACCGAAAATTACGGAAATCTAGGTGGATAAATCGGCTGTCCGATCAATCAGTGCACCCCTACAAAAAAACCACCCGCATCAAACCTGTCTTATCGCATGTTCATTTATACTAAAGGTGACCTGAATGAAATTGAAGCTTTATTACCAGGCCTGTACAGATCCTGTGGAATATGTTATTCAGACGTGTCGGAGCGGTGATTAGCTTAAAACTTACAAATCAGAGTCTAGGTTCACCTCACACATTCCTGAAGGGGTCAAGCTGATGTGTTTAAGAATGATTTAAAGACATCAGAGATGTTCACCCATCATGCTGTTCAGTACACGTTGTCCGTTTTAGATGAACACACTTATGTGTAAATGTGCATTTTAATCCTAAAAGCCTCAAAAATGGGATCATGTAAATATAACCTTTTAAACTGTTGTTCCTTAATACCAGGAAATGGCAGATTTCTATTCTACAGATGGAGACCCTGTTGGACACCAAAACCTGGTCAGAGGTCATAGTTCAGCTAGCTTTAGCTAACTGGTACCCCAGTGACTCTGTTCTAGATATTCTGTTGACAAAAGTTAGAGATGCACTGATTGGAATACATCCATTTGTTCTCTTTACTGCTCTTGTTAGTGATTAAAAAAAATAAAAAAATACCACAATCTTATGGCTATAAATGCAACAACTAAGAGTTTATACTTTTTATCAAGTTTGAGTTAATGTAATTCAGTAAATTTCATTTATAGAAATACCATTTTAAGATGAGAGTTTTCTTTAAAAATGGTTTTCCCAGTCCGATATTGATATTGGAAATAATCCGTATTGAAATATATCGAACTTCATCTAAAATCTCTGCTATAAAGCTGATAGAAAAACTCTGTTAATTAAGGTTGGTTAATGAGAAAGGAATCATGACTATTGTTTACTGTTGTTTTCAGAGTAAAAACACTCGATCAAGCCTTTTATAACATTCTTTCTACAAAATGAGTAATAAAAGTATTTAAAATATCATGTCAGATTCATATTGGTCAATAGTCATAGCTGTAATAGCTGAATGGTGTTAGAAATATTTTATCAGGAGACCTAATATTTAACTTATCTGGTCAAATAAATATGATATAAAGGTGTTGAATATTTTATTAATATTATGATAATTATTATTAATTCAAACCCAGCATGCTAAAAGCTGCATTAACTCTGATTTAAAAAGAAAACATTTGGGGTTTGGTTCAGAAGGCAAGCAGATGCAACACAAGACATAGAAAAAATGTATTCAAGAAAAAAAACATGTAAAAGATCACAAAGGGACAGACGCTGAGTATATATAGATGGGGAGGCTGACAATAAAATACTGGAAACAAATTTAATAGAACCTATCATTGATTCCCCAATGTTGACAATAGACTGGTTTGAAAATGTGCTAATCTGATTATTTTTCTTGTGGATTTACCAACTAAAAAAAAAACCCTTCAGCATTCTGCTTACAGCCTCTAACTAGAAAGGGCGGTATTGTGAAAGACAACCCTAACCGCGTCCCGTGCCCTTCTGCACGGTGTTTATTTGCACTGTCACCCTACAGTCAAATTCTCTGCATTGTGGATCCTATGTCTGGTAAATCAGATGAGTTGGCAGCGAGGTCAGTGGTTCACATGTGAGAGTGAAACTCCATCCTGGGAGATCAGAGCTGAGACCACCGTGGCTTTAAAGTCTGCAGACCATAAATAGAAACTGGATCGACCTCATAGTCAGAGGATAAACGGGGTGTAAAAGGAAAGGGTGAGTTTGGAGACTGAAGTAATAGAAGTCAGTTTACCTGTGAGGTTATTTTGGATGTTTTCCTCATCTATTGGACCCAGTCTGTGTCTTTTGATTGTTTTTTTCATAGCTTAGATCAGCTGAAGGTTTCTAATGGAGTTCATCAAGAAAGGGGCTAATGGAGAGGAAAACAGTAAGTGTCAGGCTGTGTGTGAATCTGTGCTTATAGTTGATTTATAGTCTTCAGTGCTCCTTCTGCAGCCCATGTGTTTGAACCTTAGGCCACTATAGTTTAAAAATCTTCAAGTGGATCAGGTGAAGTCTTCAATGTGCTAAAGCTGCTTTTATTGAGAGTGAAGACCTACTTGTGTTCTCAGAATAGACTTTCTAATATTGTTTCTGCCGCAGGCCCTGAAGGGGAGATGACAAAAGAGGATATTTCAGAGCCCGCTGAAGGAGACAGAGTCCTCGGCTGCTACGCCAGAAATGCTCCCCATCAGCGGGCGGTTATCCACCAGGTGGCCTCTGCACCCATGCCCAGTGACAGTGGTGAGGATCTAACTCTGCACGTGATTGAAGGGGGAAATGTTGAGGTGTTAACTTAGGTCACATTTTAAGTCTGGGTGGTTTAACGGGTAAGTTTAGATGAATTATGAGAAAAGTCTTTCAAAGCAAAAACAAGCAAAGGAGTAGTTTTTAAAGTACATAACTAGTTATTGCTTCCAGTGGCTCTTAAAAGTATGGAAGAGGATTAGGGTCAATGGGGGAAAAAAAACAAAATAGCAACAAAAAAAAAAGGCCATTCAATAAAACTCAATGGCTAGTAATTCTGACATTAATCTCAGATTTATGACTTTATTCTTCAGATTCTACTTGAATCTATATTCCAACTTTGTCAAAGTGATAATCTTGAGCTTTGGTGATAGAGGCCTAAATAACTATACTTTATTTTTAAGTTTAAAATTTTGAATTCTGAGATTAAAGTCAGAATTCAAAAGCATTTGTTTCTTTTATCCTCTTTTTTTTGTAAAAATTTGAATATTTCTTGTAAAAGAGAAAAGGGATTGACACATTGTTCTCCTCAGTTTGAATAGATGTGAAAACTTATAGGTTAATGTTTTGTTGAAGCATCATCAGTTTGAGCATTTCCTTCTTGTGATCAGAGTCTGTCCTGATCACCCCAGAGCACTGTGCTTCTACAGCACGTTAGAAAGGGGGATTGCTGTGCTTTTGAACCTACCTTTTTGTTTTAAGATCGGTTTCATCAGATAATGACAACATTGCCCATGAACTTTGAGATTAAATTCAGGCCAGAATGTTTTTCATTGGAAGAAAATGTTTCTGTGAAATATTGCATTTATTGTAGCGTATTATTGAAATATTGCGATTAGGTTTGTGCATCCTTCTCCTGTCTCATAACTTTTTAGAAATCTCTTTGCTCTGTTGTAACCTCTGTGCAAGCTTTTCCCTTAGCTGAAGCCCTTTAATTGTCAGTAAATCTAAGCTGGAAAGCCATTTTCTAGTTCTTTTTTTGGATTAATAAAGTTTTTTTCTTTTTTACTCAACTGAAGTTGAGTTTAGATCAGTTGTAACTGAAGGCTGTTCACACTTATTCAATCATCTTAGACTTAGACTCAGTTTAGATGTCAGATATTCTGGTTTTGGGACATCTGGGGATTATTTGTTTTATGGTTTAGTTAAAACTGCTGATAATCTCATTTCTGTTTTCTCTCTCTCTCTACCAGAGTTTTCCTTCTTTGATCCTTCTGAGCCGCAGTGTAGAGAAATTCTTCAGGATCCAAACACCACCATCCCTGAGCTGTTTGCTGTTCTCAGGCAGTGGGTTCCACAGGTCCAGAAAAACATTGACGTCATTGGAATTGAGGTGACGGTTGTTGTTTTTTTTTTTTTGTTTTTTTTAAGCTGTCTTTCTCTGTTACTGCTTTAGCTGCTGTTACAACCAACATCTAAACAAAAACTCTTAAAAAGATTGAGGTTAAACTCAGATCCTACGGCCGGAGCGATCTGCATCTGGTCCTTTAAACTGGTTTTGCTGGAAAGCCTGTTCAGTGTTATCTGCTTTGAAAGCACTTCAGTTATCCCTTGCAGTGAATGCTTAATCCTCTCTGTGGTGCCTTTGACTTTCTGTGTATTATAACGTTACAGGAAGGAAGATGGTTAAACTACAGAAACCAAACTTTAGACTTATCAAGAAAATATAAAAATGTAAAAGAAATAGAGATAGGCTTAGCTGCTGGTTTAAACACTGGTTTTATTGTTGATTCCACGAGGTTCTGTTGAATGCAATTATTGCATCCTGTTTATACATGCAACAAAACTATTTAAAGGGAGTGGTGTGTGAAATAAGCCATTTGATCATGGATCACTTCCATTTAGACCAGTTTTTGTGTCTCTGGGCTTTAAACAAATGCAGTGGTAGTTTAATAAACTAAAATACTTTAAAATCTTTTTATATCATCACTTTAACTGTTAGCATGATAAATGCATGGAAATTCTGTAATATTCCTCATCTTTAGTTCAGCTTCACGAAATACTGAAGTGACTGGGTTTCTTTCTGGTTGTAATACACCAAAAATAGCTGTGCACTGCCGGCCAGCTGGCTGACAGAGGGCTACAACGCATTTCCTTCTCTTACTTGAATGTTTGTTATTTCTAGACATTGAATAGAAGCTAACAGAAACCCGTCCTTTCTATGTTTATGAGGTACATCTAACTGAAGCAGCTATCTGCTCAGGCAGCCAACCTAAGGGTACCTGAGCAGATAACCTGATTATTGAAAGATACTAGCTAAGTATGTTGTTTTGTTTAATCTTTTAAGAGCAGAAGTGCTAATGAGGTATTCATAAGTATGTTTACCTAGCAACAGTGTTATTTAGCAGGTGGTTTTCCTGATTTTTGCTAAAAGTTTGTATTTAAAAAAATGCATATAAAATGTTAAAGGAAATTTATTAATATATTTTTTTGTGTTGAACCATGAATTTTTGCAGCAGTGACAATAGTTATCAGTTTTATTGAAGGCAGTACAGTCATTCAAATAAGCCAATCAGGTTTGATCTTATATTAATATATGTAATGGTCCCGATATTAAAGAAATTAGTATATTATCAGTAAAAATTGCCCTTTGGGAAACAGGTCTCAGTTTTCACTTGATTTGGTTTAATAAAATATTCCAGTTGTTTTTAGAGAGTGAGGACTCATCATCAGTAATAAGCTCTCTGAGGTGAGTGATGTTTCTGGTTCCTCTGTGGATTTCTCCCTCAGTCACCCACAAACATTTTCTATAACTTGTTTTCCTGTTGGGGATTTAATTAAACAGTTTTTCCTGTGTACCTTCTTTTTTTCTGTCTCTGGAGAAACAAATATCTATTTTTTTATGCTCCTGTTGCTTGAATATAAAAAAAAATTGTCCCATTATTCTTCAGTTCAGCCTGAGTTCCACTGTTATTTTACAGTGAGAAGGCCTCTCTGTGACTCATTGTGTCTTTGCACAGATCCTGAAGAGAGGTTGCGGTGTGAATGATCGAGATGGTTTGACAGATATGAGCCTTCTGCACTACTGCTGTAAGGCCGGGGCCCCTGGAATCGGTTAGTACTTCCTTTCAGCTGTTTAAACATGATTTCTTTGATTAATCTGGCTGGTGGAAAAAAAACTCTAGAGCTTAAAAGTACTCTTGTCCATCAACATATTGTTTAAAAAAAAAAAAAAAGTGTATAAATGGTCTCTCCTCAGGCGATGCAGAAATTGCAGCCGGTTTTGCACGGCAGCTGCTAGCCTTGGGTGCCGACCCCAACCTTCGCTCACGATGGACCAACATGAGGGCGCTGCATTATGCTGCCTACTTCGACGTGCCCCAGCTCCTTGGTGTGGTGCTACAGGCGTCTCAGCCTGGAGGTAAGAGGAGAGAGATGCTGCCATGCAATAGAGGGGAGGGCCGTGGCAACAGTCGGTGCAGGTCAGGCGTTTCTATTTTAAGCACCAACTGCCACTGGGATTAAAACCGTAGCAGTGAGTTTATCTTCTTGCTGTGGTAAACATTCTGGGTGGTACGTTTATTAGCTGCTTCCACGGATGAACGGAGGCAGCAGATGGTGGTGCTGTTGTATTTAATGGAAAAGCTTTTTTCTGTTTACTGAAGTTTTTTTTTTTCTGGTTTGATTGATTGAAAAACCAATTATCTGACATTTGCTACAAGCTATGCAGGAGGAAAAGCAAAACAGTGTACAAAGGTTCCTTTTTCAAGTTGGAGCAAAATGCAAGTTTTTAGCCTACATGCATACCTGCCGTGTGTGAGTAAAATTACTGTACCACATTCAGTGAAAAACATCTATCATCTGTGAAACATGGTAGAGATGGCATCATGCTGTGGGAATGCTTTTCATCAGCAGGGGAAGCTGGACAGAACTTTTGATGAGATATGCTTCTTTTTTACCAGCTCCATTGTTTGGTAAATGTATTGGGTTTTTTTGTTTTGTTTTTTTACCATCCCCACTCTTTTTGTTTGAACAGAGCATCTATGTGACAGGACAGACTGCCATTTACTGGTTGGCCATGAGCGTAATCAGCTGCATGCTGGCAGTGGGATGGGGAGAACTAAAAGAAGGAAGAAAAGAGAATAACCACAGGGTTTTCCCTACATTGGTTGAATTTTGCACAACGTCACGCCAAAATAAAAGCTCCCAGCATTAGGAAAAAAAAGTTAAAATAATTTAAAAACATGATGTATCTTTCTATTTGCACACGTATTCTAATCATAATCAGAGTTTGAAATCATTGAAATCTCATTAAAAATTTTTTTTCTGTTTGGAGAAAGCAACACTGTCTGTCTGGCTGTCTAAAAAGCCATCATTGGTGGCTGCAGTGCACTGCACTGCTATCAGTAATGAATAAACAAGGTTTAAATACTTTAGACATTTTCATTGGTCTTTATTTTTAGTTTTCGACATGTCAGTACCTTGTGAAGGTGATGCTTGGTGACTTTGTCGCAGTCGTTGGGGACTTCCAAATCCTCTAAGAATTAAAAAATTTTTGGGGGGAATTGGAGACAAATGTAGTGATTTTTCTGTGTTTTTGGTGAGTTTAGAAACTTCACTTCTGTTGCTGCTTCAGCACAGCAGTAAAAGCTTCTGTTAATCTCTCCCTGAGCGCTGTCTCACAGGCACAGGCCGCTGCAACGTCCTGAAAGCCCTGCATGCAGGAAGAACAGAGAGGAAACCTGCTCTGTTTTCCCACAGCTAATGTATAACACATGCGAAAAGCTACTAGTTATTTCAGCCTAGATTAAAAAGTAGGATAAAAGTATAATATATGTTTTTTAATCCCGTCTCTCTTTTTTCCCCCTTGAAACAGTTGCACTAAAACAATTACCACACAACTTAAATCCCTTATTCACCTCACAAAGCATTTGCCACTGGCACTGATTCAGGCAATGTATAAAAATTAAAGCACCGTTCCATACATTAAGGTTAACGTATGTTGCTTTTCAGTGATACTTTAATTAATCCATTTACTTTTTATAATGATAAAACGTGCCTCACGGTTAAAGGAAAAATGATTTCAGCTTTCTGAGTTACTGTACACACAAACTTGGCGCAGTTCATCACAACTTAAATCAACCAGTCACAGACGTACACATGTTATCCCTAAAACACCATGAAATGGCAAATGGAATAATTTAAATCAGGGGTGCTCAAATCCAGTCAACAGCTACAACTTTTTGATGCACCCTATTTTTAACACACCTGAATCAAATAAGTGGCTCGTTACCATGCCTCTGCTGAGCTAAATGAGGGGATCGAGCCTTTAGATTCAGGTGTGTTGGAGAAGAGATGCATCTAAAAGTTACAGGACGGTAGCTCTTAAGGACTGGATTGAACACCCCTGATCTAAATGGAAATAGAAAGTGTGTGTGAATTCAGGAGAACAGGGAACACCAACAGGTTCTGTACGGAGTGGAGTCGTGTGGACCTGGATCCTTCAAAGGAAAAGGGGAAGAAGAGAGGGAGAGGTTTAAGGAGAAAACTATGGAAGTAAATCTGTGTCGCTGGGATTCGAATTAAAAAATGCCACCGAAATTTAAATGTTGTATGTTTGTACTTACTGTTTCAGTGTTAAAATATATTCAGAACACATTTTGACCTAAAAAAAAATTCATTGTCATTATCTCTACACAGTTGAAATTTCATTTGTTATTTTCTCTTCCGGCTAAAAATTCACTTTATTATTTCAAAGTGATTACATTTTCAATACTTATTTTTCAGTTTAATTTTTGAGTGTTAAAAATCTGCATGTAAAAAAAATTCAACCTTTCAAAATTCAAACTCAATATTTTCAGCCTCCTGAGATTCAATTGGGTGGCTCAACGGTGAGTTTATTACTTTCATTTTTCTGTAGTTGAGTTAGCGTTAGCTTGCATGACCGGCTCCGTGATGCTGGTTTTCCTTCAGTATGGGCGCACAAGCGTCACGTGACTAAGAAAACGTAACGGGATTGGCTGGGTGTTGGACACCACAATCCATTGCTAATGTCTGTGACCTGAAGTAACCCTTCCCTTTTTACACTGAATTTAGACGCCGAATTTAAGACAGTGAAATAGAGTTGAATCTCAGGAGGTTGAAAATATTGAGTTTGAATTTCGAAAGGTTGATTATTTATTTTTTTTTTTTTTTTAAATGCAGATTTTTTTAACACTCAAAAATTTAACTGAAAAATAAGTATTGAAAATGTAATCACTTTGAAAAAGTAATGTGAATTTTTAGCCTGAAGAGAAAATAACAAATGAAATTTCAACTGTGTAGAAATAATGACAATGAACTTCTTTTTAGGTCAAAAATGTGTTCTGAATATATTTTAACACTGAAACAGTAAGTACAAACATGCAACATTTAAATTTCCGTGCCATTTTTTTATTCGAATCCCAGCGACACAGATTTACTTCCATAGGAAACATGTTGGTAGCCTTGTTTCCATTAAAATGAAATTCAAATTTTAAACAAACTTTTAGAAAAAAAGGAAATACGAATTTGTGGCGTTTCCATTTGGTTTGAAGCAAATTAGTTAAGGACTGCAAAGGCATGGTACGTCGTCGTCCATATTACGTCGTCACGCTGATGTAGTAAACAGGAAGTAGAGACTGTAATCTGACCACAGATCAGTAATAAAGGACAGTTTTAATGAATGTGTTGCTATCAGTTAAGTTTGCTGACATTAACATGTCAGTTAGTAATGGCGATGCTGTTTCCAGTCATGTCTAGGAGCATTATAGGAACATCCAGGAAGACGGCGACGGCTGAAAGATCTGATCAGTCATGTGAGAAAAGTTTTCCGCGTCAGATCAGGATTTTGCGCATCAACCCTTTTTCGCAAAAGCCAAAAACTAACGTAAGCAGGCGCAAAAAACTTTTTTGCAAATTCTAGGGAGTTTATTGGAATTCTGCTGTTTCCATCAAACCTTGCTGATGCATTAGAAGAAGCTGAAGAAATCTGTAAAGACTTAGCTGCTCGATTTTGTTTATTTTTCTTCAGGAATATCAGCCTAGAGGCTTCTGATCATAAATACATCCCCATGTTTCACATTTCTTTTTGTAAAAATCAAATCACATATCTTTTTCCTAACCCTTTAGTTGATCCATCAGAGAGAAAGTTTGAACAGGTTTTATTAATGTCCGTGATGCGACACATTGTAAAAAGGTTTAAGAGGTAAAAACACTTTTGCAATGTAATTGAAAACACAGAGCTCTCTGTAGTTTATGCCTGAAATTAAATTAGATTTCCTCTGCCTTTTTTTTCCTGCAGAGGTTGATGCCACCTGCAGTGACTTTGACTTTGGCACAGCTCTTCACATCGCTGCATCCAACCTGTGCACGTCGGCTGTCAAATGTCTGCTGGAGTTTGGAGCTAATCCAGCTTTCAGGGTGAGCTTCTTATGTTTCTCTTCAATCACACGCCACCCAACTTTACTTCTGAGTTCAGGAATTTTTTCAGCACACCATTGCGACTGTTTATTTTTGACAGAGTTTGTTTTGTGGCATCGATCTGCCTATTTTCTCTTGAATCAGAAAGTGAATCCATTATTTACAGTTCTTTATAACGAGATCAGCTTGTTGGAAGTACATTTCGAAAAACACAATATTGGAGAACCGGTTTAGAAATAATTTGCTACTCTTTTTACTTGAGCAGCTGTTTTCTTTGAGCAGACAGTAAACAGACTTTTTTTTTTTTATATATAGGATACTTAAAAAGAAATGGAATCCAATCTATAAATGGAGTGAGTAAGACGTCATGCCATGGAGGCAAATCAGATGCTACCGGCTGGTTAGATGGAACAAATAAGAGTTTATGAAGATTAAGCAAATCACATTAATGAGTTAACTAAAACTTTGCTCTTGCTTTGATTTTTGTAAGGAGATGTTTGTCCAGAGTTCAGACAATAAACCTTTTACACTTTGTCTGCGTGAGGAGTCATTGACCCCAAGTGCAGAGTCAAGTTCAAAGTTTAGACTGATGTGTCATAGTAATAATTTAGTATAGTAATACTATATTTACACTGATCATGTATGCCAAGGAAATTGCTGAAAAAAGGGCTAAACATTTATAAATCATAATAAAAATTTATCCATTGTATTTTGCATTTTTTAACTATTTTCTATAAGATTATATTAAAAACACAGTAAGTGAACATAAAAAATGAATGGGTAATGAATAAACAAGATAAAGAGTGCAGTGGAAACATTATTTTCAATATAAATAGAAGACATAATGATTAGATGGGATGAAGGAGGGAATGCTCTTTATAGGTGGGTTTAAAAAAAAAAAAAAAAATTTTAGGATTAGTATTCGTCCTCGTCATGTAGCCTTCAGAGTTGACCCCTCCCCCTCTCTGCTGCACTCTGCCCGGCTTCCCGTCTCCCCGGTTAGCCTTCGGGGCTAAACGCAGCCAGGTGTCTGACTCAGATCTACCGCTGTCTTCCTCCAAACCACCGGCAGAGAGTGAGCCAGAACGGGGCAGAGTTGGTGGGACCGTACCTGTTCTAGTGCATTCTGTCCAACGCCTGATCCCCCATGGAGCTTAGTCAGGAACAGCAAGAGATCAGTGTAAGAACCCCCGGCAACGAGTGAGCCACAGCGGGGGAAAGTTGGCGGACCGTGCTCCACGAGCTAACAGCAGGAGATTGAAGTACTTGATCATTTTTTCCCGAGCTGGCACGTTGTTAGACACTTCATCTTCACTGGTTGTCCTGCAGTTTGATTTGATGGATGCTGTCGGATCAAAACAGCGTGGATCTAATTTGATCAGATGTTGTGCTGACAGAAAAAAAACACACAGATGCACACATACACACAATAAGAGACACATAGCGCTCTGTTGACGTCCTTTTTTTGTGTTTGGGTTTTGAGGAAAGCAGCAAGTCTTGTCAAGTCAAAAGAATCAAATCCAAGGGAAGTCACAAGTTAATGATGTGAAAGTCCGAGTCAAGTTTCAAGTCTCCTCATATTTATTCAAGTTGAGTCGAAATTGATTGATTTCATGATTGGAGTCCAAAACAGCCATGTATGCGTGCAGCAGTGGTTAGGGCACACCACCCATGTACGGAGGCCTTAGTCCTCGACGCGGCCAACCCGGGTTCGAATTTGGCCTGTGGTCCTTTGCCGCATGTCACTGCCCCTTTTCCGCTCGGCCTACTTTCCAAAAAAATGAGCCACTAGTGCCGTTAAAACCCCCCCGAAAAAAACAAAAAACAGCCATTTATACTCATTCACCAGCATAAAGGGACTGCCTGCAGCCTGAGGAAGATGTAAGTAGGCTCCTTTGAGTCAGAGAACCAGGAAATAACCAGAAGCCTGATAGTTTCCTCCTCTACATGAAAGCAGGCAGTTAAAACACTGGCCCCATCTTAACTCAGATCTTCACAAAGCTGCAGGAGGCTCACTGTGGCTTCAAGCATTCCACTGTCATTCTCGTCCCCAAGGTGCTGTAAACTAGCCTTTGTTTGCTGCTTCAGCTCCCTATGGCTGATAAAGTTTTACTGCACCTTTGAAAATGCATCATCATGGTGTAAAATGATTACAGATCTGTAGCTTTGACGTTTCTGGCCTTAAAATCCTTTAAGTGACTGGTTTCTAACCAGTCAAACTCCAATAGACATAAGGAGAATAGAGATAAATCCTAACGTCTAAATATTGTAATGAAAGACAGTAATAATATATATCTAATTTATTTGTCAGGTATTTACTAAAGTGTTTGTTGTCTTTAATGACATGATTCAGTAAAGGTATTTATTGTGTTATGCAATTTATTTATCAAACTGTTTATTAATTTCTAGTCCTCCATGCTGCTGTGGCCTCATTAAATATTCATAAAAAGGCTGAGTTGCACTCTTGAATATGTTTTAAACTGACCCTGAAGAGGGATTTAAAATGAAATATATCTTTAATTTTTAATCAACATCCCTTCAACAAACAGATTAAACAAAAACTGAAATCTATAATACCTGCCATCTTGGTTCTCTTCAGTGTCTGTTGACTGCTATAAAGATTTCCAGGTAGATTTTAATGCATCATATGTATTTTGGTTGTATCTTTGATAGAAAGCCTCTTGATTTTAATGTTTTAGCACTAACTACCACTGGAGGTCACCAAAGCACTGTGAACAATTACACTATCATTTACTCACTCAGACGTGAATCCATAAGTTCTCTCTGTTCATTATTCAGTTTCTTATAGGCTGTGAAGGCGAAACTCTGAGCAGACTCACTCGGATGTTTTCAGCCGTTCTGCCTTTAAATTTAGATTTGATTAAAATGGTAACATAAATGTTGCCTCTTTTAGCCTGTAGCTTTCTTTATAGTATAAAACTAAGTAAGATGAGGGTTTATTAATGCTAAAATTGCTACCCTTGTTTTTTATCTTTTACCAATATCAGTTTCTTTACACGGACCTGCTTTATTTATTACTGAACATATAGAAGTCCTCTTCTTAGTTTTCTTTAGGTTGTATTTTTTAATTTGGAAATAATAATTTTTACATAAACCATCATTTTTTTTATTTTAAATGTTTGTGTAATTCTTTTTTTTCTTCCCAGCATAACACGTCCAAAAGTGTAGCAGCTGTTTAATTATTTCACCAGTTTAAAAGTTCAATGATTTATTTATTTCAGCCATTATGTCAAAAGGGAGTTTTGTGTTATTGTTTTAATAACACAGTGATGTGTTAGTGTTTATCTTTTGATTTTAATGTTTTATTAGAAAATACAATGTTAGATCTTATTAAGAACACTGATTTAGTTTTGGAAATTAAGTAGGGATGCGCATTAACATCAGTATTGGGTTATATAATTTTTAGCATATTGGTATCGTTCTAAAAAAGTAAAAGTGGGCCAGTTTGAACCATTTTTATTTTTATTTCCATCCTATTGTTTGTTTTTTTAGGGAGGGTAGGGGTTGGTCATGTTATTCCTTTGGTCATGTAACAGTGAGGCAGCATTGTGGAGTGTTTAACTGAAGCAGAGGAGCTATGTCAGTGGTGAGGTCAGAGGGGTAATGTGGTATGGTTAGATATTGGTTTTTGGACGTATGGCTGCAGGCCGCAATGGTCTAACCCCTTTAGACTTAAAGGCCTGTGTAGAGCAGTGATGTGGAGTTCTGTGGGACCTTTTTAACCTCAGCTTTACCCAGGAGGTGCTTAAAGTGTTGTGGAGGATCGCCTGCCTTGTGTCGGTACCAAAGAAAACTCAGCTGTCTGTTTTTAATGACCACAGATCTGTTCGTCTAAAATCCCAATTCAGGAAGGTCCTGGAGAGACTCCTGATGGGCACGAGGTTCAAAGCCCCTGCTCTGTGATCGCCGTATAATCTACTAATAAATGCCTCATTTTGAATATGGAAATCCTTTTATTATATCATTTAACTAGATATAAGTCTACATCGTAGCTTTTTAGAAACTGTATTTTCATGAAGTATCAGATTACATCACATTTTGTCCTAATTTTTCATTTTTTTAAATTCCATTTTAGACCGGCTAGTAGGGCTGGGCGATATGACCTCAAATAAATATCATAATAAATTTGGCAGTTTGACCTCGATAACGATAAATGCACGATAAATGCTCCAGCCCCTCTGTCTGAAAATAATAGCCTGTGCAGCAAATGTAACAGACCTATATTTTATTTATTTATTGAATAAATAACATTACATAATAATTTCGATTAAATATTATACTCTTATACCTATTCAAGAACATTCAACAATGTCTTACTGAACAGGAGAATAATGTTTCCTCTCTTGCAAACGTTTTTGCGCATAGGTAATAGAGCTTTTTGCACATCTTTAAACTCAACATGATGGCTGTGCTGTAAGTGGTGGAGGCTGGATGTGTTACTTTGGGTGGTGCCAATAATTTTCAGGCAAACTTTGCATTTCATGTTCATTTGCTCAACATCTATGGCGTAATTTGGGTGCAAAAGAACTCTTGGTGCTTGGAGAACAATGTGCATTGTTAAAACCTGCACACCCTTACTCAAAACCAGTTGGCTGGGCGCTCAACTCCTATAACGCTTGCTCAGCTTCATGTCTGCACCCCTTTTCGCTCACCTGCCATTCTCTTAGTTTACGCTTCTGACTGGATGGATGGAGTCACGTGATTGCACAAACCTTGCCGTGTCTTAAAGAGTAAAAACCAGCCACCATTGCATGCAGGCAAAACAAGAACAGCCATAGTGGACCAAAAAAAGCAAAAAGCAAACATGTTTGGAGCTGCAAAGATGTAAAAGTCTTGTATAAGTTTTTATATGGACATTGGGATCCATCCAACGCTTTGTTTCCAACAGCCACCTGCCTGGCACCACGCAAATTTTTGCAGCATTGGAAAACATAATAAATGAATGTTTGTTTGACCTCCTGTACACCATATTAAAAAAAAAAAAAAAAATCCATCTTTTTACATTTTCATAAAGTTTTGAAAAAGCACCAGGGAACCACACGGGGGACGCTAAAGAGCCGCGGGTTCTAAAAAATCTGCAATATTTTTGATCACCATATTGAGGTTCCTCAGGTTTAAAATCTGCCAACAATTTTAAAACCTGCTTTTTGAACCAGGCATTAAATGGAGCCAAATGTTTACAAATTACCAACAAACAGGGAGGATTTATATTTTTTACTGATAATTGATAAACTAGCTCACTGTCTATATGACGCAAGGAAAAAAGGGCTAAACCATATTTGTTTATAGGAATCAGTTAAAGGGACTTTATCACCATATTTTGTGTTGTTTTTTTTTTGTGAGAGCAGCACAACTTAAAAGAACTTGCAGACTTTATGGCGATCGATTTTCTGGGAACGCAAATCACTGAAGACAAAGAAAGAAATGACTGTTCTTAGAAATTAAAGAATAACTGAAAAGGCTACTTTAGAACACTGCAGAAATTATTCAGTTCAGCTTTATCACCGAAGGTGACACGACTACTGGATTTAATCATATATTTTTTTTAAAGTATTAATATTTATTTCTATGTTCACGAATTTCTGTGTAGAAAATAAAAGATCTAAAATTGACCGAAAGGTGCACACACCGATACAAAACTTAAAATGTAGATGAGCAAACACAAAAATAAGAGAAACACACAAATGAAAGGGATAAAAGCTGCAAGTTGCAAAAACAACTGCATGTTGAGAAAAGCTTCTAACTGGCTTCGCCTTATAGAGGTGCCCTAGACCACTAGGGGGAGACGATCATTGAATTATATGGTATCAGGAAATAGTCCTATTGCCCCTTGCAGAATAACGACCATCAACTCTTCCCTAAGATATGCAGCGTTGACTTCCTACCTTTTAGTCGCCTCCAGTCATAGATGTGATCACACCTTCAGTTGGTCTGCTCCCTTGGATTAGTAACACCCTGCCGCTGCAGTGTTTTTACACCTTGCTTCCAATTTTACTTTCTGTTTGTACAATAAAGAGTATTGGATCTGTTGTTTATTTTTTCCCAATTTTAATATCGACTGAAAATATGGTATAGTCTGTCAAAGACTAGATTTCTATTGGTTGCTCGAAAGTGAATCTCGAGAAACACTACAGACGGCTCTGTTTCTCCTAAATTTTCTGATATTTCTTGCACAAAAAACTCTTTTTCTATTCAGTTGTTCTATGAGCTGTTGTGGATAGAAATGTGAAACCCTTTTTAGTAATTGGGCTCTTCGTCTCTGCTGTAAATGCCTCTGCAGCATGCTTGTTGACGACCCCTGAACGTTATAATTTAACTGTTGTAGACACAATAGGGCGGCTGTGTGGGAGAGGGAGTCATCAGCGGCTCGTCGATGTCAGAGTGTGGGAAAGAGTTTAAAGGACGTCTGTCCTGCTGCGAGGCAAGGCTCGGGATTAAATTTGATTACGAACGGTGATTAACACAACTGATCATGTGAAAATGACTTGGCTAGAGTTTTTTTTCTTTATAAAGACAAAAAGTATTGAGTAAAAGCATAAGCAGCATTTTATTTCTTTCTCCAGTGTCTCACCTTCCCACGCCAATTTGAACATTAAAAAAAGCAACTGGTCTTTTGTGAGGATTATAAATCACATGAAATGATGACATGGAACAATCCTGCTCAGGTTTCTCCTCTGCCGGTCCTCTACAACAACCTCCCTCTGCAGCATCCTCTCATAAATTTAGCCTGCTGACTCAAAGATGTCTATCTTCGCTGTCATTGAGTCACCTGGGGAAACCTTCATCCCGCCTTCTGCTGATAAGCCTCTTTGAAACAAAACTGATGGGGATTTCATGCTGAGAGTTGCAGTATAATTAAAGAATCAAAGACCCAAAAAGCCTGTCTCTTTAGAGAGGTAAACCCAAGTTTAGAAGTTTCCTCGTGATCCAGAAGCTGTTTTTGTTTGTTAAACCGATAAATTGCAAAAGGAAGTGGCAGCTATCATAGTTACAGTACCTTCAGACCTTTTTTAAAAAATAACCTCAACCCTTCTTTCTTTTTGACTCACAAGCTAGCATTATGTAGCATTAACATTGCACACATCATCCATAATATGGACACTAAGTTGGTATCAGAATCTGATCAATACTGATGTTCGATACATACTTTGGTCTAAGATTCAATCCTTTACTCACTAATCAGTAATAGGTAGACTCACTGTTATACTTTATTTTAGAAAGAGCAAGAAAACAGCTCCGCTCATTACATTTATTTCATTAATGTAGTTTCTCAACTCTCTTCATAAAAGAGATTTACTTTATTTTTCAGACTATAGAGCGTACCTCACTATAAGGCTCGCCCGCTAAGTTCTTTGAAAAAACTGGGAACCTATATATATATATATATATATATATATATATATATATAAAGCCGCACCAGACTATAAGCCACTGATGTCTACTGAACTGTTCTCCACCAAACCTGGAGGGAAAGCTCTACATATAGCCCCTAGAGTAGGGAAGAAGAAGAATGCTGGCTTCCGTGTTAGCACAGGGTTTCGTCAGCTCTTTAGCTCTGCAGGAGTTGAGCCCAGTCGCTACATCGGTTTGGCAGCTTTAATGCACCAAATAAATGTCAAAATGTGTGAATTTGGGACATTTGTTCTCCTTCATGTCTACTACTATCATATTCTTGTGCTAAATTAAAATTCGCCCCTTATTCTTTAATTTCAGACTTTGTCTTCCCCTTTTAGCGGTTAGGAAAAATTCACAGAAAAGCCACACCTTCTTATAAGCTGCATGGTTCAAAGTAAAATACAGTAGTTTTTTATTTTATTTATTTTAATTGAATTATGTTTTGTGCTTCCTTTCTCCAAAGAAAAAAATGCACAAGTTATTTCAGTGTTTTTTCTGTTGATAATGTTAATATCATGATAATAAAGTAGTCACCTTTAAACTTGTCCTGTCCTGTGTTTTAACAAAATAATAAGAGAAAACCACAAGAAACAAGCAAATAATTCAAAAGTTTGACACACATCTCAAATTTTCTTGTTATCAGTCTTTATTATCATGAACTAATCAACGAATTGAAAGTTCCAGAGAATGATAGAGAACAAGAAGAGGAGCGTTATAGCCTGTATGAATCAGGTTTTGTTTATTCAATGAAAATAGAAAATAAGTATCAAGAAATATCATTTTTATTTTGTTTTGAATAAGTTAAAAGACAAAAAGTCAGCAGAAATTCAGTCCTAATTGTACCTTGCAATGAGCTTATATGTTCTTAGTTTCCCAGTCAAAGCTACAATATAATAGGATTAGTGGAAATAAGCATTTTTTTGGACACATTAAGAGGTGAAATCAAAATACTTTTAAACTGAGTGGATTAAAATGATCTAAGTGCATTAACATAAAACAGAAGAATGGTTTCAAATAGAAGGTTTTATTAAATGTTATCTCTCTCTTTATTGATATTGTTACTATTTAGGATCAATATAAAACAAAATAAAGTTAAAAATGACATTACGTGATTCAAGGTAGGTTCCCTAAAAAAAACAAATTTCAGCATTAACGTAAATAAAAACTGATCCATGCAAAAATTTTCTTTTCCAGCCTTATAACTGAAGGGTGATGAGGGCTACAGGCTATCCAAATAAGAAAAATGTCAAAAAAGCAAAATACAAAAAAGATCCAATCAAAAAGGGACTTGTTGAAATAATTAATTTTATGTTTTTGAATTAACTATTATTGTTATAAATAATGCTCGTATTGGTTTATTATGCCTATCTCTACCATAATATTCCTTTTTTATTGAAATAAAACCCAGTTTTCTACGAACAATATATAGACCTGCAAAGAAGACAGATGGATATAACGAAGCAAAACAGCCTTCATATAACAGCAGTGCTGCACAATATGAAAGTTGGGAACCACCAGCTATCAAATGCATCTATTTTGGAAAGTGCTTATTTTTCCCCCTTGCATCTTATGGGTTTTTTGTATGGAAGTATTAAACTCTTGAATAACCGTCCGCTGTTATTTCAGAATGAAAAAGGACAGTGTCCAGCAGATGTTGTACCTGACCCACTGGAAATGCCCCTGGAGATGGCTGATGCAGCCACCATGGCCAAAGAGCTCCGTACTCTGCTGAGGCAGGCTTTACCCAGACCCAGCTCACCTCTGCCCCTCACACCGCAAGGCCAGGTCTCTGCTCTCTCTGATAAGGCAAGGAAACAGCTGGCTTCCATGGGAATCCGACTCGGGGCTCGTGTGTTGATAGCCGGACAGAAGGTGCGTTTAATGTTGCTGTGAAAGGAGAAAGCGACATAATCCTCCCTGCTTATTTTGTCTGGTGCAGCAGCTTAAGTCTTTCATTAAACTGAGCCAAGTTTTATCAAGATGAGATGAATTCTCATATCTACAATAAAGCAAATAGTCATAAATCTCACAACACGATACAAATATTTGCAAAAATAATCCAAAAAAGTATTGAAAATTACCATTTCCTACACGCAGTGAGTGAAAATGTGGTATTTTTAGTGTCACATAGGAGTGCTTGGTCTAATTTAGCATTTAGCAAACCTATATGTCATGCAACTGATGTAAAACTAAACCTCAATCTAATGACTATTCAGTACTTTTTCTACATCTTCTTAAATGTCTTCACAACCTCATAGTGATTATGCATCTTCTTCATCTGTCAGTAATCTGCTTTCACACCTTTCTTTGATCTTTACCACCAACGGCGTCAACCAGACTTTGACTGTTGTTCATACTTCTCACTTGAGCTCATTACACATGTTTATTTCCTCAAAAGTGGCACACATGTTATCAGCACAAACCAGCACTCTAATGAGCATTACTACAAAGTCTTCAGACAAGTCAGTGTGTAATTACAGGTTACATTTCAGGAATATCCTCAGTAGTAGACCATTTATTCCCTTGGCTGTCACATCTTTGCAGCGTCACAACAGAAAACTCTAATTTATTTAAGATAAAAATTGTATCAGAATATATTTTCAGAAAATCTCTTTATACCTGAAAGAGATCTTTAGTCTTTCTGATTAGCGATCATTGCCTGTAGGCTGGAAACCACTGTAATCTCTTTGACGTAAACCAGGAAAGCTCTGTGGGAGGAAATATGTTCCCCATTAAGCTTGTGGAGTAGTGTTGAAGTGTTTAGTTTTCTGCTTCAAAATTCAGTTTGGATTGATTGATTTGATTCAGGTTCAGATAACAAGTAACCAACCTACTCATCTTGGATGGGTTACTGCGTTAGAATTGACTATTTTGTAAGTAATAGGAAAAACAGTAAAATCAATCTTTTCACTAATAACCTGACGTGGCTAAGATCGATTATCTTCCTGTTACACAGGAATCACTTCTGCTGCAGTGCTGTTAGGAACCACTTTTACTCTTTTTTTATATTAGTTTTCCTCCTTGATTAATTTGAAAAAAATAATCTCTAAATCTGAAATACCCCCAGAAACAGAGTTTATAGCATCAGGGACTGCTTCTTCCACACTGTACTCAGGAGTTTATTAAATTTAAATGAGGCCTTAAAAATTTTCTGTTTTATGGAAGCAAGAGAGAACATGGTCTAAGGGTCTGTAGTCAGTTTTCAATGATTCAAATAGAAAGTTTCTCTTTGTAAGAAGTTTCAAAGTTCAAATGAGGTCAGCGACGCTATAAAGTGTTGGAGGTTGTTAAATTCGTAAGTTGTGGTGCTAAACTTGAAGGTTTTAGGATTTATTATGCAAATCAAAGTAAATGATTTTCAACAATATGTAAGATTTTATCTACTTTAGTTAAATAATATTTATGATCCAACAGGGTGTGTCAGTTTAACAGATATCAGTTCTAAATGTTGCCCCCTCTGAGACTTGGAGTTCATAATTGTAAACTAAAGCACAGAGACTAATTAAACAGACTACATCAACATCCTTAACGAAGAGTTTTAGGATTAAATTTGCAAAAAGAAAATAAGAACTTATCTTATTTTTAACTGCATAATATTTTATTAATATTGAAGTCTAAAAAAAAACAACCACTGATGTTTTAATGCTATTGTGGTTAATTGAAAAATTAAACAATGCCTGAAAAGACATTTGGATCCATCTGTTCAGAGCGTTGCTAATTATGACTCTTAACCTGTTTTCTTATTGTACATTTTATTTTCTTCTCCTTCAATATAGATGAAGGAACTATAGATGCGCCGATCAGAGTTTTGTGTTTTCTTTTAAATCTTTGTTTTTTTATTAACTCCTGATGGGCCCAGAGTTAGTATTATAACCTTGTGGATTTCCTGACTGCAAAAAGCAGCTGTAAAAGGCGCCCATTCAGATGAGCTCAGAGACGGCTCCAATGTCAGAGGATGAAGAGAGCACATCCAGCCAGTCACAGCAGGACTGCCTAGATGTGCCACTTGCAAAGTAGAGATGAAATAAGATATTATAACAGATGAGCAATAGAAAAACAGATGCCTGTGTTAAAAAGGAATTTGTAACCACTGGAGCGAGTTTGACTGGAAAACAAAAGTTACTTTTAAATGTTGGAGAGGGGTGGGCATGGTTGGAGACCGTACACATATTTTCTGGGACCGGCCAAGGATAAACAGATTCTGGAAGATTGTCTAGAAGATTGAAGACATCATTGATCACCAATATATTTTACAAGTACTTCAACTGGTAGCAAAAACCTAACCCTAACCATTGCGCAATGGCTACAGCATCTAAAGCAGGTATTTTAGATTGTGTCTAACCACTCAGCTATGCCTTAAAATTGAGATATTTACATGTGCCATCTTTTTTTGAGGGACCCTAGTTGTTTTTCTCCTTTCTTTCTCTTTTTATTCTATCTTTTGATTAAAATAGAAAATAGGGAAAACAAATTTTAACAGTATAATAAGCCTTTTTAATGTATGATGTACTTTAATACATCTAGCGCCGAATTTATGAGCTAATCCTCAACACTTTTTTTTATCAGATTGTAAATTATATATTATATTTTTACTTTTAGCAATAAATAAAAAGAAAAGAAAATATAGATAAAGCAGAGAAGATGAACAAAACAAAGAAAAAGAGCTTCATAAATAAAATCCTGTTCCTGCTTTCATCCTAATATATAATCAGCCGTGGCTCATCAAACACATAAATGGTTTGTCTGTGTTGAATATTTATATTACTTTGGCATTTAGCTGCATTTATAGTAAATTTTAATAGACATCCTGTTACATAGTGTTATTCTATGCGTGTTATTTGGTGTTTACAGGTTGGGACGTTACGATTCTGTGGCAGCACCGAGTTCTCTGGAGGCCTGTGGGCCGGAGTGGAGCTGGATAAACCAGAGGGGAAGAATGATGGCTCCGTAGCAGGGGTTCAGTATTTCACCTGTCGATTCAAACACGGTAGGAAACGTCACGCCGCTCTGCTTGATGATCAAACACACCGACTCACCCACTCGTTAATCTGAGTCATGAATCCCATTTTGTTTTCCGTAGGAATTTTTGCTCCCCTGTCCAAGATAAGTAAACCCTTGGAGAAACATAAATCGAGCTCTGCAAAGACTCCTCTACGCCCCCCTCGTCGCATTGACGTGTCGCGTGTTACTGCCAAGATTAACACAGGTAAAAGATAAGAGCTGCTTATCAAGTCTTTGTTGTTTAGACTCATTGGAAACGGGGATGTGTCGAATTTGATGCAGCAGCTCCTGCTGGTTGAGCAGTGATTTCCCTGGTTCTGCTTTTGGGATTAAGCTGTATTCTGTCCCTGTCAGGTTCACTGAACAATGCAACAAGGTGAGCAATGAAGGCTTTTAGGAAAATATGTTTCCCTGAGGAGTTCTGCCACTATGTGCATTAATAAAAAGACATGTCATAACCTCGACCACAGAGTCGAGGAGCTTGAAAAGCAATGAATTCCTGAATATTTGTGAATGTGAGTGAAAAAAAATCTTGTCAAAAGGCAGCAGATGAATGTCATGACACCGAATGGTTCTCGTACCATTCCCAGGAGATGGCCATGGATACAATGTTGAGGAAGAAAAAAAAGGAAAACCTGTTGAGACCTGCAACAACAGCAGGTCGGGGAAGAGCTTCCTTCCTTTGTAATGCCTCTTCAGAGAGTTCAGGTTCAAAACGTATTCTCATTAGAAAAGACTAATTATATTAAAAGGTGTTGATTGTGGCAGGATTAAACTTTGTAAAATGAGATCAAGGTTATAAACTAGTCAGTCTCACAATCAATACCAACTGAAGGATGAACTAAGCTACCTTTGTTATAAAGTGAGGAGCATTAGGGGATGTCTGTGTTTTTCTCAGGATTCACATTTTATTTGGATACAATATTATTAAAAATAGAAATAAAAAAGGAAATAAATCAACAATTAAATTAGCATCCAAGCAAAATAATTGCTTTTGATTTGATTAAGAGAAAGAAACATGCAAAAACAAGTCAAATTATATTACTGCTTGACTGCTACTAATTAAAAATATGGTTTATTAACATTTTATGAACAGGAGATAAAAAAAAAAACTGTTTTTACACCTTAATCTTAATTATAATCTCTAAAGTTAATTCTAAGAAAATAGAAAAACAATTTCAGTCTCTGAAAGCCAGAATGCAAAACGCTTTCAGCACAAAGTCTAACAGCAGCTGTTATCTCATCCTGGGAAGTGATATTTCATCTGGAAGCTCATTTTAAGACTGCCCGCCTGTCTGTTCTGGAAGAGTTACTGAATTTTTCAGCGGTTCCTTACATTAGATGTAAATGCAAGTGCTCCTAAAGAAGCTTAGGGTGCAGTGAACCCTGTAATGTGTGATGTACACAGAATCAGTCTTTGAATGATGATATTTCCCTGATCCAGTTAGCGAAGGCTTCTTTTTTACTGCTTTTGTTTAACTGAACCTAAATTCCACTCAAGAATAAAAAGGAGGATCTGTCACCAGGCTGTTTGCCAATCAGAAGTGGAGAGTTTTGTCATTTTAGATAGAATTACTGCAGAAATATATTTTTCTATGAACAGCTCTTCATACTGAGAAGCAAAAAATGCACAAGCAGTAACTATAAACATAACCTGTATCTGATCAAGGTATTTGACTTTATAGTGTTTTTATAATAAATGTATACTTTGTATGAGACTTGTTTATATCTAGATATATAATTTACACATTGATCCAAATTCAACTTCGTCTTAAATTATTTCAAATTGTTTGCCGGTTTTCCTCTATTAAAAAACTTTTTTGGCTTTTTGATTATGGAATCTTATTTGTTTGGTTTGATTAATATTGAAATCACAAATCATTAAAATGACTAACTTGCCTGACAAAATATTTATTCCAGTGTTGGATATAAACAAAATAAACACAGCGGAAATCAACAAACTCAGATATGCACAATTGAAGGTATTAAAGAGGATTTTCGCAAATTTTTTAAAAGACCTGCCCTCTCCACTCTAAATAAACTGTGCGTGCGAGAGCAGAAACGAGCCCATTTCTCCTCGTGCACGCTCTGTTTAAAAGTTGTTTTTCTTATTGCTTATACAAGCTTATTGAGTTCAAACATCTTCCCCAAACACTAAATGCCTCAATCACTGTATTGAAAGGTGGACTATATAGTGGACTTTATAGCGAACTCAGTCAACTGACTATTTGGATAGATGATCACTGCTTTTTGCTCCGTTGGTCACTTAACTCCTCCTCCACTGCGCGGTGCCTGCGCCATCTTTGTTATTAGTCGCCACTGTTGGGTAGCGACAGCCTATGGCGACAGCAGGCCGCTGTCACAGCAAATCCCATAATGCTTTGCATGGAGAGCTCTCCTTGCGAAGCATTTTGGGATATATCTTTCTTTTTTTGCTCATACACTTTAGACAGTTTTTCTCTTACGACCCTCGGCCATTTTCAAAGAACCACAGTGAGAAAAGTGAGCTTCAATGACTGTCTGAGGCCCCGTCCACACGAAGTCAAAACGAACACGAAACGCTAATATTTTCCAGAACGTTTGTTGTAAAGACGGAGACGTAAAATAAATGTGATCGACCACACGAATGCATGAAAACGCTGCAAAATGTATGCCAGGCCTGTAAGTGGCGCTGTGGTGCCAAAGCAAAAACAGGCAACGAAATGTTGGGCATGCGCACTAATATTTATACAACAACCAAACTGGAAAACCCCTGCGGGTCCATTTTCGTGGTTCAGTCAAATTGAGGTGATGAACTATGTCGTCTATATTGCTCTGTTCTTCCTGGAGATATTCCAGAAGAAGAAGATTCTGTTGTAAGCCCAACAGCAGGGTGAGTAGCATGAGCAGCAACCATTCAACACAGTACGGTGCCATTGTTGTGATACTGTATCGCGCATGCGTGTTTAGAGGCGACGCTATGACGCATGCGTGTAAGAAAAAAAATGCGGTTAGAGCTTAAAGATGGAACCGTGAAAATGGCGTTTCAAAATCTTTCCACTCTGAAGGCCTAATGAAAAAAAGATCGTTTACAGACCCCGAAACGCCGGCTTCGTATGGATGAGAGGCTGGTTTGGTGAAAAATGTGTGCGTTTAGGCCAGGGTTTGACTTCCTGTGGACGGGGCCTGAAACCGTAGCTCACCACAGATATACGCCTGAAAGTGTGCATGCACAGAAAAAGATAGCTAACGGGACGAGCACGTAGAACGGCCTTATGTAAACATATCTCCAGAATGATTGACAATTAGGAGGACCACTTATTTAGATGATCCACCTGAAAATAAAAAAATCGTCCGTTATACCTTTAATGAGAAGATATATGAGGGGATTGTGTGGAATAGAAATGAAGAAAATCTTCTGTGAAGATTCTCAGTCATCCAGGTCATGGCCAAGCTTGGAAAAGTTCTGTTTAAGCAACTGGACGTTACATTTTTTTTAGACGACATTTAATGTCTCATTCAAGAGGCCTCTTCAGTTCTAACTAAGGGTGTGGAACGCTGAGATTAATATACTCTTGCTCTTACAAAGAATGAGGGGAATAAACAAAATGGATTAGCTAAGGAGGTCACATGGGGGGTGTTAATGGTTGTCGTTGACTCCCTCATCAGAGTAGTTTCACCCACATGCCTCATTAAAATTGTAGTTTTTTAGAAAAGCCCATCTGGAATAACCACATTTCTTCAGGTATGTCCTAATATGATTCTGTTCTTTCCTCCTGCCTCTGTTGGTGGTGGCAGTGGTTTCTGCTCATGTCTGAAGGGTTCTGATGACGCCTAGTTTGTGGTCCAGTGGTTGGTGTGAGCTTCAAAACGGAAGTACTGGTCGGTGTGGGTGGGTCTCCTGTAGACTTCTGTGTTGTCTGTCTTCCATGATGTTAACCGCGCAGTCCATGAAGGCAAGGCTGCCATCTTTCATGTCTTCCTGGGTGAACTTGATGTTTCTGTCCACTGCGTTGATGTGTTCCGTGTACATGTTGATATCCTTGGTCTTTATTTTGACACATGTGTCATCTGCATCAATGACTGGGTTTTGATCCCATGTATGAGTGTAGAGCTCTGCTTTCCACTTCTTCCATAGGTTCACCACTATGGGAGACACAGGAAACATTTATCCAGGTGGTTTGGTGGTTACTTGCAGAGTTAACATTTCAATGCAGTAAAGATCCACTACTGCCAAGTGCTTTTTCAGGAGAAGGGATTGCTGAAAAGCTGTGCTTTGGTGTGATTGGATTACCGTCTATATTTCGGAATACGAAATGGGGGCATCTGTCTTTTGAAGTACCTAGAGATGCCATTTACTGTGAATTGGTGCTGTGTAGATAAATTGTATTGAATGTCCTGCCAGTGTTCATTCCTACAGTGGAGGTTTGGGCCTCCTGTAGGGGGGACTGTGGGCCAAGGGGAGCAGCAATCAACTGAAAATGGTTAAGTCATATATAGATGTGATTTTATGCTCATTTTTATCCCGTTGAATATTGATCCTGTTTTATCTTGCCTACCCTGAGTGAACTTTGTTACTGCATGCCTGGATTTATTGCATCTCAACTTTGATATTAATCTTTCATGAAAGTGGGCTCTGAACCACAGCCAAAGGACAATGCATATATTAGACTGATGACGGGAGCCTGCTCTCTCAGTCCTTGAATGCTTGTTTCCACCAACTTCAGACAAATGACTCCAGTTGGTAATTTCCATCAAAAACCTTGTCTTGCGTTTTTTCGTTATTCCTGCCACTCCTCAGGTTTACAGCTATATTGTGTTTTTTTAATTGTCAGAGTTCCGAGGGCCCATTGATTGGGATGTGACTAGAATACCGGACCTCAGAGAGGCCTATGCAGTTTAGTGATTGATAGTCCAATTAAGCCTAGTTTAATAACTAGGGCATAGACAGGCTGAGTGGCCTGGCAGCCATTAATCACAAGGTGTGTGAGTGAGTGTTTACGGACGGCGTGCAATGCATCTGAGGGCAAACGTGTCTGCACCGCCGTGCAACTTAAACTAGGCTAATTTATGAGCGCACACTTCTCAGGGCTTTTGTCAGCACAAACTTTCAGAGCCACCTGCTTTTTACTGTCCCACTGAATCACTGCTGGAGACAGCCTGCTCGTGTTTATCGATGGATTGCTTCGGTCATTGTTGAACTGTCAGTGAGGGAGACGGACGGAGGAGAATGCCAGGCTAGTCTCTATTGTGTCTCAGAGGGCAGGAGAGGCAGATGTGGAATCACAAAGGGGCTCTGCTTTGACTTGTAAAGCCTTGCTCTGCCACCTGAAGTGACCATCAGGGCGAAGCAGGGAATGGACGGCACCAGGGGCGCTCCGCAAGCTAAAGGTCAGGTGACAAGAAACGTTTGCTAAGTTGGAATGCAGTCAAGTGAGGACAAGAGCGTTCCCAGGTGCCTCCAAAGTCAACTTTTTTAAGCACATGCCTGCCGTATGACTTTCTCATGAATCCTCATAAGGGATTTTTTTTTTATTCCCTTACATTTGCTGCACAGATGTTAACTCAGTTATTGCCAATTAAAAAACATTTTTTTCTTATTTGAATAGATTTAATTTACAGCTATAAGCTGGAGAACAACCTTGAAGTTAAATACTTTATAAGAACGTGAAAAGAGGCACATTTGTACTTCAACTTCGGTTACCTTCAGCCCATTGCCATATGAAATTCTGTTCTAAATGCTTTTTGTTTGCTGATATTTTAGATTTTGTTTGGATTTAATTGCTTTTTAGTATTTAAGAATAATTCTTTGCTTGTTTTGTTTTTAACACTAGGGATTTTTGTGTATTGTTGAGTTGTTCTTTTATTTACTGTATAAATACAATTCAGTCAATAGCTTTAGCAACAGAGGGAATTATGCCTGTTTAATGAATGTGTAGCTTTTGTTGTGATTAGCTGCAACCTGACCAACCAACCCTTCTGCATTAGTTAACCATACTGTCTCCTTTTGATGCTCAGAATGGTGTTTTATCTAGACAGTAGAAAGTGTTGGATATGTCCTGGAGCTTCATGGCTTAGTTATTCATGATCTAATTTATAATTACAGACAGATCACCCTCTTGGAAGTGAACAGCATCACATATCATTATATAACAATTATCTGGTCTTTATTGGAATCAGTTATTTAAATCAGTTCAAACTAGGAGACTAAGTAATGTTTTTTAAAGGATGTGTTTAAATGATTAAGTACACTCATGATTATTGTTTAAAGAGCCAAAATTATGTGTGAATTAATTTGTTTCATGTCATTGCTTCATTCTTATCTGCCTTGAACCATTTTAATGACGACTAAGCAGCTATTTAAATGTTTTCACTGATATTTTCGGGTCATTCCTTGCTGATAAGCTACATTTACATTCAAGTTGAATTGCATCCCTGCCATCTCCACTATCTTAATCTCTCTAAGCATTTTCTGTCAGTTTTAAGTGCTCACTCTTGCTAGAGTTTCAAGAATTTTAATCAAATTAAACTCTTACTTTAAACTTATGTCAGGATTATTAATAAATTTAGGGTGAATATTTTTTTTTTTTTTGCGCAAAATTCTTCCTGGAAAGAAAAATCATCATGGTGAAGCTATAGTCTGCACCTACATCGCAACAATAATCAACATGTTCAGATCCAGAACTTTTAAGTTACTGTTGCAGTCATGCTCACACTGCCCTCTACAGGCAACTAAACAAAGCCGAAACAAATACCTAAAATGTTTTTTCTATAAACCATTTTAAACAGAGGTGGGTAGAGAAAGTAGAAACTTAAGTCAAGTAAGGGTATAATTATTATTAATATGTATTTATTAATTAATTTGATGGGGGCCGTGCATGTTAATGGACACACATGAATGTAAACATGCCACATTGTAGCCAAAGGCTAATTTCCATCCGTTGTCCCACAGGCAGGGGTTACTGAGGGTACATAGTTATAAAACAATAACATTAACAAACATTTATATATTTAGAAAGGGGTAACTTATTCATCACTTTCACAGCTCAACATACTTTATAATTCATGTCTGTATTTGGATAGATGTATAATCAACTCTTTTACTTAATTATTAACAGTAGGAAAATATTTGTTAAGTTCTGCAGAAGTACTATGTCCTTATTTGATCAAAATCTGTAATTTAACTTATATAAATATATGATTACACTAATGGAAATATGACATCCTTTGCAAATTCTGCTATTCTGGAGAAGGGATGACAAAAACAAAAAAGTGAATCCTCCCTTTATTTTAAAAACAGAAAAAGGAAAATGCTAATAGCATAGTTTTTAAAATATTTTTTTTATGACAAAAGTTTGTGAGACTGAAACTAATACTTCACAGTATCTGGTGACAAAGACAATACTGGTAAAAATAACATTTAAACACAACAGAATAGAACTAGTTGGTCTGAAGTAGGACTCTTTGTTTTTATTACGGTTTCTCTAAGCATTTTTTCTCCGAGCTTCTCATAGCTCTTTTCTTTCTTTACTTGGCATCATGTTAACACACTTCGTCTAAGCTCCAGAGCAGACATCTGGTTAAACCCCGGCTCTAATGGACGTCGTCACACTAATGGTCCGGTTCGTTTAATTAGCAGCCCTCTGCCGCACTCCTCCTTAAATGCAATAAAACATCAAGGATGTTCCTGATTCTTTGCGTATATCATTTTCCTTGATAGCTTTGTGTTTAAATTAATGAATAATAATCATATTGATTCAGCTTATTATTCATGAACTTGAGGTAAAATTTGATCAGATGATTTGATGTCCTGGTCAGTGCAGTATTTGCTTTTGTTTGCATCTGTATGCGTTGTTAAGAGGGCACTGTCTGTCTGTGTGGAAAGGTTTATCCCCCTGCAATAAAAAAACCCCGGACAGTGAAAAGCGCCCACCGAGTCCCAGTCAAAGCACAGAGGACGACAGCTCAGTCAGGAAGACAGGTAGTGTGGTGTGTACTGACTCCTGAATTGGTTCTGTCTGGTTTAGAGCTTATGGTTTCTGTTTGTGTTTGCATTAATTGTAAGTGTTGTACTAAAGCCTCTGTTACCACTCGATCTTCATGGACTTTAAAACAAGAATCCAGCATCTAAAGTCTGTCTGTAGGGAGCTAAATGATGATCCCAAACATCATTTAGATGCTGAGAACGTGTTGTAAATTGTTATGAAACTGCTATAAAACCCCGAGGCTTTTTACAGGTTTCATGTCCATTACTGTCTCTTTTTTCACAGTTTGTTTGGGGCCTAATCTTCCTCTTAAAGCACTTTGGCACAGATCAGATCAATTACCCTCAAAGCAGTGGCTATTTAATGAACTTACAACCCGGGAAGGTCTGTTGAAGGTAAAAGCCTAATGAGGTCCGGCGTCCAAATGGCCTCTAAGGAGGGAATTGCAGCCCTCTGCCCCGTGTTCCCCCCCCATGTTGGAGGAGAGCATTAACACGTTGGATCCCGCTAATCGCTCACTAGAAACAAAAGCAATAAAGGCCTTTGTTTGTACTGCTGGAGGTTTCTAAAAAAAAAAAAAAAAAACACCTGCTTTAATTGTCTGAATTTCTTTAATATGTCACTAATATATAAGGAATCATCATTAAATCCTAGTTTGAGTCCGACCTGAATGGAGAGATGGTGGATTTATTCATTCAGTGTCTTCAGACAGCTGCTGGGTTTCTACACAGTCTGAGAACGTTTGGTTTCTCTGTTTTCCAAGGAACAGATAGCTTGATTTATTTAGATTCCCTTACTTTTTCTATTCCATCCTACTAAGTTCTCCTTTTTTTCTAAAAAATGTTTTCCCTCCATTATTGCCTCACCCTCGATCCTGCTTTAACTTCCTTCTGTCCATCCTTTTTCCTAATATAAGTCCTCCTTCCTCTCTTTTTTCCTTTCTTTTTCTCTGTACCAATTTTGTCTCCCTCATTTCCTTCCTTTGTTTTCCTTGTATCCTACCTCATTTTCTTCTTTATGTCCTTTCTTTTCTTCCTAGGTTTTACCTCAATTTTTGGGGTGTATTCTCTCATCTTTACTTTCTTCTTCAGTTTTGCATCCTTCCTCCCCTTTCCTGGTTGCTACCTTCTTTTTTCCATTCTTTTTTTTAATTTCCTTTTGCCCTTTTCTCATTGTTCTGTCCGTTTTCTCAATCTGCTACTTTTTTCTTCACTTTGTTCTTCCCTCTTTCCTACCTTTCCTTACTAGTGCCCTTCCTCTTTTTTTTCTTGACTTGCTTTCCTTCTTCCCTTTTTCTGTGTATAAACCCTGATGTAATGTTGGCTTTCTGGATGCTTTATCCTGCTAATATAATAACAGGAATGTCTGCATGTTTTTGTTTTCCACTGAACTTCTGCTTGGATTTTCTGCACAGGGATACTTTCCCGCTCCCTGTCGTCTTCTTCATCTTCGTTGGACTCTCGTCACGGAACGGGTGGCCGTCCTCGTCCTCTGCCAAGGCAGCGCCTCCCTCCTAGGCAGAGAAAGGAGAACATCTCCCCAAGTCTCCGGATGACTCCACCACCCGCACTCCACTCATCGCGCTCCTCAGCTCCTCCAGCTGTCGGTATGAAACACTGACCCAGTGAAGGTTTCAGAAGGTTCCTTTTTTAAAGAAAGTCCGCTCGCCTCAAAAAGATGAACTGTCCGCTGTGTTTCAGGTTTCAGGAGTAGGACCCCCTCAGCCAGCAGCTCTCTGTACGACTCTGAGGTGCGACAGGGGGAGAGGGTGCTGGTGGCGGGACAGAGGACCGGCATTGTTCAGTTCTGTGGGAAAACCAGCTTTGCTCCTGGTTAGTAAATCACATTTTTTCTTTAGTTCTACTTCTCAATATTTAGTGTTTCACTTTATTTTCTAACTCTTAATCTAAAACTAAAAGTTCAGAAATTGTTAAAACATGCGAGGTTTTCTCTTGATTTTATGTGTGTAGAGTTACTAAATCACAATCTTCTGAGTGTAATAGGTTTAGAAAACAAGTTCACCAAACATTTTCAAGATAAAAACAGAAACAGGGTAATAACCCTTTAATATAAGTCAGAATCACAACCAAACTTCAGGGTTATCAGTTTAATAGTTTTAGGAGCCCATCAGCTGTAAAACTAAAGAGTAATAAAAGCCTATATGGCTCTTTGAAGATTTGAATGACATTTTATGTTCCTAATTTGAAATTACAGATAAACCGCACAGAATACAGAAACTTGTAGCTTTTATGGAAATCATTGTTTTGCTGACACACAAAATAAATTTCATTGTTGGTGTTGCGCCGATGCCATTTTTTGGCCCTGATACTCGGCTGTGCAGTATTGGCCGATACATACAAATACCATCTGTTTGAAATTGATGTGTGTGTATATATATGAAGAACTGCATGCTACTTGGATGTAAAATAATTGCCATCATGGCTTTGTCAAGCTGCTGCCTACCTTTGTGAAGCAGGAAAAAGACTAATACAAAGTGAATCCAGTAGGACTTTTTATTGCCTACCTGGAATGGGTGACAATAGTTGAATAAACATTTGGCTCACCAAATGGTATCGGTGCCCTATTTGTTGGTACTCGCCGCTACAGATACCATCATTTGAGTGCTGAATTGGGGCCCCGCCCAATACTGGTATCGTGGCAACACTAGTAGTTGTAGTAAAAGTAATGGCCCTGAACGCACCCTAATATGGCTTTTTGTTTTTTACGCCTCCCTCATGATGCTCAAGGTAAATCAAGTATAATAGATAAATTAGTTTAAAATCAGATTTTATTATTATTATTTTTTTCTATGATGATATATCTTTCAACATTTTTCGTTATCGCAGACATATTATATTTGTTTTTAGTTGTGTTCCAAAGCTCTTTCCTTCAACATACAAAAAAATCCTTTATTTAAACCCTTTAAGCCATTTGGAGGAAAAGAAAGTCAGCTACAAGAGTTTTTCTTGATTTAATGTTTAATGGATGCAGCTTATTAAATTTGTCTACTGAACCATTTGCCCAGAGCTCGGCTGTTTTGGCATATCAGTATTTTCTATAGATCATTCCTCTTTATACTTTCAGAAGAAATATGTATTAAAAACCTTTTACAACATTTCTGTTATTCAGAGTATTTATTTGCCTCAATTTCTATCATAATTTCCAGTCAAATATAATCTGTCCCTTTACTCAGGTTTTAACCTGTTACCATAGCAATCGATACTTAATATACTTAAGATGATCTGAATAACAATCTAAGATTACAAGAATTTCAACTGTTGTCCTTCTCATAATTAAATAAGTTAATTCAGGCAAATGTCAATGTTAGTAAAGAGGAACATGTGAAACTTAAAAAATGTCAGTAAGTTATATTTAAAAAGTCAACATTTTCATTTAATTAAATCAGTGCTCAAATAAAATATAACTTCCTAGATTCAAGTATCTAGGATTTTTTTTTCTAATATATATATTTTTTAATTCAGTTAATCGTGTGCCTGATAATGCCTCATCAAAAGTGTGCAGTTGATGGTTGAGCTGAAACATATTGTAATAGTTTGTGTTTTTCATGTAAGCCTGATAAAACACCCACAAAAACAAATGATCCACTTCTCAAAAATATGGGACCCTACATTTTCCTTAAATCCTGCAATAACTCATATTCTCCCCGAATATGTACTACTTTTTTTATTAAAGAAAAGAAAATCTATGAGGCTTGAAATCTTTGAAATGAAAAACAAATGAATCTTTTTCTATTCACTTGATTCTTCCTTCAAGAACAGTTAATTTCTTTAGGCCGTGGAGCAATTTACTTGTGCTGCTGAAGTTAAATGATCATAATTATTGTTTTCTGAATGTTGTTTTATACTTTCACTATGAAACTGATTCAGTGATAATCAGGAAATCTGGAAACATTCCTGAGAGACAACCTGCTTCAGACCAAATCAGCATCAAACAAAATCACAGCAGCTCACATGACTCATGGCTGAAGAGAACGGCTTCCTAAATATTAATGGATACACACTATGTCTGCCACCATGGTGGGGTCTCAGTCCTTTGATTCTCTTTTGTTCTTAATTGCAGAAAACAAAAACACTTTTTGACAACATGCTTCTTAATAAGACCTTAGTTCTAATATTTGCTCAGTTGTTTTTTAGAGTAAGGAGTTCAGACATTTGTCTGTGTAGAAAGCTTGTTCATAAAATGTAGCTACAGAACTGTTGTTTGTGATCCAGGTCATAAATGGTCAAAGGGAATATTGTGTGGAAGTCATGCTGGCTTGTAGTTACTGCTGTTTACTTATTAAGATAATAACAGAGCTGTGTTTTATAGATGATTTAGACGGACACAATAACACATCATTTAAGTTGAGCTTCACTCTGTAAAAACCTGGAAGTGTAAATTAAGGTTCACATAAAAAAAGGAAAAAAGACCCCATATCTATACGTTCTCTTGTATCCATCCATCTGCTTGTGTTGCTTCAGCTATCAGAGGGAGGCATCCATGGATTTCTGTGTCCATCCACCCACTCACTCAGTGGTCCTTCCTTCCATTTGTCCGTTCACCCAGTGGTCCGCCTGTTTTTCCAAGATGTGCCGCTATTTATCTCTTCTTTCCTCCATCCATCCCTCTGTTGAATTAATCTCTAGTTTTTGCTGGTGCATTATTTTTAAGCAGACAATTTTAAAAATATATGCTATTATGTTTAACTCAACCTTTTTCTCTTTGTTCTTCTAAAATTATCTTAAGAGAAGAGAAGATTTAGGCATGAAAAAAATGTTTTGAAAATGACGCACCCTGTAGTTTAACAATTTTAAGATTTCGTTTTTGATTTATTCATATATTTTTTTTATTTATTATTGTTGGTTTTGTTTTTGAGCATCGGAACTTTAGGAGCGTCCATTTATCTTTCTTTGCAACATTTCCACTATTTGAAGTGATTCCTCTAATGTTCGCTTTAATCTCTGTTTCTCCTCAGGTATCTGGTTGGGCATTGAACTGGACAAGCCTAGTGGCAAAAATGACGGCTCAGTTGGAGGAGTCAGATACTTCAGCTGTCCTCCCAAACATGGAGTATTTGCTCCTCCCTCCCGTGTTCAAAGGTGAGAACTCAAGATTTTAATGTAGCCTGGATCTTGTCCTTACAGTCACTGTTTAATTGTCTTTAGTGGTCATTTGTAGAGAGAGAAAAAAACAGACTTAACCACTAAAAAAAATAAAATGATTTAACATTCACGGCAGATTCAACAATAAATCCCCAAGGCTGCCTTTGATTGCCCTCATATATAAGTCTGATGGCACTAATGAGTTCCTTTGACAGTGCCATTTGCGTGACTGCTGACACATTTGATTTCGCCCTCTGTGCGGTAAACGCTTCTCTGTTCTGGTGATTAACTAGAGTCAGAGTTATCCAATGTGAAGCCCGGGGCCTTCACTCAGCAAGACTTTTCAGTTTAATATGACACCTTGTAATGAGCCAGATGCCGTAACGTCTGCGTTTAAATGAAGATAACGAATATCTAAAGGAAGACGTATTCACACAAGCTGGCTGTCAGCAACGCTGCATGTTAAAATGGGGGTTGTGTGATGCATCTGTTTGGGATCACAAAGTAGAAGATGATTAAACTGCAGATTAGTTTTAAGGCTTTTAGGTTTTGTTAGAGTGCAGCAATAAGAGAGTCTGTATACATGAAGGAACAGCCGGACGTTCAAACAGAAAATCAGTCAGTCACCATCTTTTTTCAACCAGCCAGTCCCCCTTCCTATCTCCTGTGTAAAACATGCAGAGTGTCTCCAAAAGCTTTCAACATTTGCTGCCGATAAACGAGCTGCTGAATATGAAACACAAACCGAATGCACTTTTATTATTTAAACATTTCCTTGGTTTGCTGTTTTTGACCATTTCCGCTCCTGCCAGAGATTAGAATCTATCATTTATCTATCATTTATCTTTAATCTATCATTTATCTTTAATAGCACTAATTATCATGGAAAACAATGGAAACAATATTTGGTTTTATTTATTTTATTAACTCAAAACGTTCCACTTTTTTCAGCCAATTAACAGACCAGCCAATCAGATGGAGGTTGGGAGCTGGAATGTTTTTATGCCAACATGAACAGGATAAACACTATTATCTTTAAGAGGAATTATTGTCATTTTTTTTTTAAGTTTTTTTGCAGATGAAGAAAATATAAAAAAAACAAATTAGATCTAGAATGCAAAAATTGCATTTGAAGCTTTCTGTTGTGCCTATTATGTCAAATTACAGCGATTTTACTTCCTGTCTGGTTGAAATCCAAATCAGACAGAAAGTGAAATTTTTGTAAACCGTTATCATTGGATCTCTGCTGACAAACGCGTGAAAGCTCGATACCTGCAACACGTTTTTATACCCTTGACTCAAAATATGTCTTTTCTCTTTTATAAACAAATTAAATCTTATCATGCAAACTTTTTTTTTTTTTTTTTTTGTAAAATCAACATGAATTGAGGAAGAGTTTGCTTTTTGCACTTAATGCTAACACAAAATGGCTCGGCACGTAACAGGACACCTGTTATTCTGCATTTGATCTCATCCTTATGCTCTGTTTTCATACCAGACTGGTTACATCTCTCTTTTCTTTCCCTTGGTTTGTTTGGATTATTGTATTGCAGATACAGATGTGTTGCCTTAATTGTTGGGACTTCCAGGACGGCTGTTTTACTGAAATAATTTCATCCTGGGGAAATTCTCCCTGACAGTAATATTCATGGAGTCACTGAGTTATCGGATGGCACATTAGCAGCCCGATGCCTCAAGTGTATAATGGTCATAACTGAATAAAAGCCATTAAAAGGCAGTTGACATCTATAACAATGTGTGCGTCTGTGAAAGGCTTTATCAGAACTGATGGACTGTTGCACTTTCATTTCTTCGGATAATTTGTCTCTGTTCATGATGTCCTCTCAGGGTTTTTCCTTCCCTTTTTATATGTATATTTTTTCCTCTACTGTTTGTGTCTTTCTTTAGACAAAAGCAGCTTTTAAGAAAGTCGACTTTAATTCTTTCTTTTTCCTTCTTTACTTCCTAATTAATCTCAAGACTCAAAGTGTGCATCCTTTCCAACTGTCTAATGAAGGATTTAACATTATTCTCCTTCTGTATTCTTCTGCTGTCAGCAGCCAAACCACTTATTAGAAAGTAAAAGCTCTTCTTTCTGTTCTTATATATCTTTGGATTTGTGCTTGGAGCTCCTACGGCTCTTGTGAGGAGACTGACTCTAGTTGCCTTTTAAAACTATTTAAAATGTTCTGTATTTTGTAATAAAATCTAAAAGGTTATTAATTCCTATGCAATGCTGAAATCTCTTTAAAACACCAGCGAAGAGACTAATACTTCTTCCCTTTACCAGGATCCATGGCTCAGTCGATTGCCTTTCAGAGCTCACCTCCTCACGTCTCCGTCATCCAGTCAGTGGTAAGGATTAGTTATTTGAAAAGTATTGCTTTAGTCAGAGGTGTGTCATGCACTAATCAAGTCATTAATTTAGGGTTTGAGCATTGCTAAATGATCATGATGATTGAAGAGTCTACAATATATCTAACTGCAGGGTTAAAAAAGGAAACATTTAATTTCATTCTTTATATACATAAAAGCTTAATTATATACAGTACAGACCAAAAGTTTGGACAGACCTTCTCATTCAAAGAGTTTTCTTTAACACATGTGGAATTATATACTTGACAAAAAAGTGTGAAACAACTGAAAATATGTCTTATATTCTAGGTTTTTAAAAGTAGCCACCTTTTGATTACTGCTTTGTACACTCTTGGTATTCTCTTGATGAGCTTCAAAAGAATTAGACACTACTTCTACATCAATCTGTCAAATGGAAATAGACAGGTTGAAGTAGAAATTCCAATTTCTGCTTCAACTTGCACAAACTTCTTAGACTTTTCCTCTAGTCTCATTAAGTATAGGTCAGTCCAACGACTTCAGTCTTTATTAGACATTGCTTTGTCTTGTTACCACGTTGAAGATGTATGGCGTTGTGTGGCTTTGATTGGAATACAGCAAAATAATGGTGTAGTACCTTAGTAAAAGTAGCTTTGATGACATTCATATCCATGATGAGTGGATTGAAGCTTCCTTCTTTAGCTCAGTTTGTATTTCGTAGTGTGACGTCAGCTCTTTGCATCTCTGTGACTCTCCTGATATCCATCCAGGGACGATTCGTCGCAGTTTGAGCACATCAACAGCCATCGCCACACCAAAGGAGCTGAGCAGGAGAAGCCCCGTCACCAGGTGAGAAGCTTTCCTCAACAGTTTTAAACCTCTTTCTCTCCTGAGGTTTTCAGCTTCATCTGAATCCTTTGCTGCAGTGACAGATTTAGCAGGTTTTAAAATGGCCGCTAGATGCTTCTGCTGAGGAGAATCAGTTGAGGATTAAACTATGGAAGATGACGCTCCGGTTTGTCACCTGGTGTTTATTTACCTCTATGCATATTTTCTCATAAACCTTTCTTTCTGTTTTTGTTTCCTGTACATTCACAAACAAAAACACATGAAGGAGCCGTTCTACTCCTCACCGTCGCCGCTGGAGCACCCTGAGCGGCAGCAGTGGAGGAATTCCCGGAAGCACGGCAGGGTCCAGTCCTTCCGCCTGCTCAGACAGCCAGGTGCGTCTCCAGGTGGGCATGCAGGTCTTCCTGACCAGCGCCAACGAGATGGCCTTTATACGCTTCCTGGGAGCAGCGGACTTTGCGCCAGGGCTCTGGCTTGGTTTGGAGCTCCGAAGTCCAAAGGGCAAGAACGACGGCTCCGTAGACGGCCGCCGCTACTTCACGTGTCGACCTGGCTACGGCGTCCTGGTCCGTCCCAGCCGGGTCACCTATCGTGGCATCAACGGTTCCCACTTGGCGAATGAAAAAAGCTGAAGACTTTGAATATGGGTTGGATCTCACGCTGATTAAACTTTTTGCATTTCTAACTTTTTGCATTCTGATTCTCTGCACTGCGGAGCTTTGAGCTAAAGACATAACTGCTTTAAAGTTTGTAGGAGGCAAAAAGCACTTTATAAAGTTAACAGGAAATCTATTTTGCATAAAACTCTGCACTACTTTATTCTGATTGCACTGACAAGCCTGTCACTATAAGATCAGACTGACAATATCAGTGCTTTCTGGGATTTTATCAATTTATTAGGATCTAATTAAAGGTGTCCTTGTGTTTTTGTTGGTGCATGTTGATCAGAAGCACTTTAGAAAAGGAGACCAGGATTTTTTATAAACAGGGTTTATAATTGAAGTCGTGTTGGACTTATTAGTAAATAAGATTAAAGAAAATGATGCTCTGTTTGGTGGCAATAAAAGTATTTAACCAGTTAGGAATGGTTTGTAATGCTGTCTATAAATCACTTTTTATTAGGTCTCTTTTTTAATATTTTGATTATTAGGCCAGATTAAACATTAAAAGACGAAATAATTGCCAAAGAGAATTAATGTTAGGCCGTCTGACATAAAAAAACCCCTCAAACCATCACACAGCTGAGATGGTTTGTCCTTTTTTTGGAAGAAAAAGCAAAAGCAGAGCTGACTGCTTTTACATGGATGTGTTCCCTAACCTTTATTCCTGATGCACATTGTCCTGCATGCTTTAGATGTTTCCCTGCTGGGAAAAACCTAATTTAAAGGAGGCAGAAAGCTGATATTTCTCTCATCAGATTTGAGCTAAAGCTTCCATATTATTCATCAATCTGCAGAACAATCCATAGCAATTAGCACAGCTGGCAAACATGTCAAAAGCTTCAAAATAAATCCATCTTTAATGAAGTCCCTGATGCTTCAAGTCCTGTAAAATTTAATCATATTGATAATTATAGGCAAGGATCTGTGAACCTGTAGGCTTTTTATTTTTCATAGGTCAGGGAATTACCTAAACCCATCTTTAACTACAGTATCATAATTTCATCCTTTTTAACCCTTGATCTTAATTGTCAAAGGCTCTAAGAAGGCTTTCAGAAAGGTTTTGTCACCGATGGAGGAGGGTGGGCATTTATGCGGAATAACAGATAAGGTCAGTTATTCAATTGCAGCGTTATTTATAAAGCACTTTTAAAACGAGGTTAACCAAAATGCTGGACATGACAATAAAAGACAAAGACAGACTCATACAATAAAGAGTCACCATCAGGTTGTGTTAAAAGCATAAAAGTAGAGGTGAGCTATGAGGCAAGATTTGAAAATAAAGAGATTTAATTTATTTAAAATAAAAATCTACTGAAAGTTGTCATAATGTCAAGATAATGACAGAAGCCACAGATAAAGCTGCTCTGAGCTGTGTTAAACTATAAAGCGATATTAAAAATTGTGCTATTGCTTACAAGAATGATGATCTAAAATGCTATAATAATGCCCATTGTCCTTTATAATGGCTGCTGTTTGGGTTAATCCAAAGAGTAACAGTTTGAATGGTTCCTACCAAACATTTGTAATAGTCTGTGGTGAAAGAGCCATTTTTTTCCTGGGCAAACTGCATAATTCTAGTTCAGTCCAGAGAGCAATGGGCTGCTACGACTCATTGGGAAGGACTGCAGGTCCAGCAAGCCCATGCAGAACATTAGAGATCGTAGTTCCAAGCTTCAGGATATTCACCTACAGATCAGGGCTGGTCACATCTCTGAAGTGGACATTTTATTAGTCTGTTTAATTTGCTGTTTTTTCAGACTTTATCTCTATTTATCAGGGCCTCAGTGGGCTCCTTTAGATGGTTGACCATATGATGAGGAATCAAAAGTTATGCACAAATGTTGTCAAACTGTATTAATCAGGCAACGAAGTGACAAATGACAAAAATTAACCATTTTTAGTTTTCTTGCAGGTAGGGTTGTCACGATACTAAAGTTTTCAACTCGATACCGATACTAAGGAAAATATTCGATGCTCGATACCATTTTCGATACCACAAGGATAAAATTTCAACAGAAATATTTTGATTAATAATTAAAATACAATAAATAAATAAATACAATAAACAATAAGAACAACATTTTGAGGTTGTTTTCTGTGCAAAGTATTTAGCAAGCTTGATAACAAACTTACAAAATTAAAATTAAGTTTTCCTTACTTGGCTATGCTTTGCACACATAACAATGACACTAGCCAAACCGGTTAAGAAACAAAAATAATTCTCAGCAGCTGCAAATGTTACAAAAAAAGTCTGAAACTGAAAAGTGCGTAGAATTATTCGATCACACAGTGTTCAGAAAGTGCATTTTCCTCTATTCTGCACTTTAGATGACTGATGACTGTTTAGGTGCGACTGGTACTCAATACTTTTGAAAATGAGTATTGTATCCGGATACAACGTTTCAGTATCGATACTTTTGACAACCCTACTTGCAGGGGAACCAAACTAGCAAAGTATGGTATTTAACAATTCTCAGGAAAACAGGCTGATTCCAACTCTGCTTTTCCAAACATTGCAATTTTAGTCTGGATCTTTTCATTATATTGCTTTGTGCTTACATCCAAACTGATTTGAAAAAAAAACCCCAAACACTACCAGGGTCAAAGTGATCATGCCCTTGATGCTAATGGTAATAACTATGGGTTCCTTTTTGATAAATATAGGAATATAGGAGTCCCAGCCAATTCTTTTGAATGCTTATTTTAATTCATCTGAGTACAAAGCAAAAACCCTGTCAATTTTCCAGCTAAAAACTGAGGATATTACAAAATATACACGTATCCCTCTTTCTTTATCATTCTTAATAACCTTAATGAGATTCCCAGTGCTTGACACACTGAGGCATCCCCACAGCATGATTCTCTCAGCACCGTGTTTTGCTGTGGGGATGGTGCTCTTTAGGTTATCTTCTTCTTTCTAGTAGAATAATTAAGTTTCTGGGTGGACAGTAAATTAATGGAAGCCTCCAAAATATTAGGTAAGATGTTTGGAAAAGCTGTGGTAAGAATAGATCTGTTTTGAGAACATTTGGTCAAAAGTGTGGAAACTTGCAGTTGCGTACGAGGGCTAATAGTTTTGTCCTAAACTCTATGCATACTCTGGGAAAACAGGAGATGATGTTATTTGAATGAAGCTGTAATAAGTAAGCAGATCACTTGAACATAAAACATTCAGTTTAATTTACCTTATTTAGAACAAAGTAAAGAACATAAAGTATTTTTTAGTATTATGTTTAGGGTTTAAAACAATTTATTGGATTAATCATGATTAATCAATTATTCTTGAAATAATTGTCAACTAATTTAATCGATTAATCATTAACTGGGCAGTAGAGACTCTTAAATATGTCTAACTGACAGAGCAACCCATCTTGAGCAGCAATTATATGAAAATTGTAAAAAATAAATAAATGTGTAAACATTTTGCATTTAAGATAAAAATATTTTTCATCTGTCAATATGCTCTACCCAGAACTCCTCAAGTGGAAAAGCTTTATTTCCAATTGGTTTAATTTAGCAAAAAGTCTTCTTTAAGCAACCTTTTCGATTAATCGAAAAAAATCAACAGATCAATCGATTTGAAAAATGATTGTTAGTTGCAGCCCTAATTATGTTACCCTGTTTAATAATTGTACCCAAATTAATCATAAAAAAAAAAAAACATTTTAAAGGACAACTATTTATCCTATTAAAAAGTAAGATAAACATTATTGTCCCCGGAGGGCCAACAAACACAAGAAAGAAAACAAAGAACCATGACATTATTTATAGTAGAGCAAGAGTGCCAACAAAGGCCACTACAGTTTCTATAAGGACTCATCAGGTCGAATGATTGAGGATGACATCAACAGGGACAGATGAACATTTCTAACTATCTGTATTACACTAATCATGCATCTGCAAACAGGTGGCAGCAGCCTGTAATTACAGGAAAGTGAGTGACTGGTGGGCAAAGATAGCCTTAGTCTTCCATATGATGCTGCAAGAGCTTAGACCTGTGGCTTTACTGGACATCTTTAGCATGCTGTTGACTCTGAGATTTTGGTTTGATTTAAATACTTTATCCACATTTCTACCTGTGGTGCCAAGAAGCTTGATTCAGACAGGGAAAGGCTTAAAGTACACAACGCTGTTTGCTTTAAGGAACCAGGTTGTAGAAATAATTTCTTAGCGTGATTCTCATCCTGATTAGAATCTGTTCTATTAATCTATTTCTACAGTCAGTCTCAAATTTGACTCAGATTTGTAAGCAGTCTACACTGGAAAAACCATCTAGAAATAAGTAAAAATATCTTAAATCAAGTGTATTTACCCTTAATTTGAGTAGTTAAATGAGAATGGAATGAGTGTTTTTACTCTTAAAATAAGATAATTAGATAATATGCACTTGAAATAAGAAAATGCAATAGTTTTTTTCTTATTTTAAATGTAAACTGTCTTGTTCAATTGGCAAAATGTCTCTTTTGCCTCCTCAATCCAAGAACAAATACATTTATTTTAAGAAAAAATGATATCTAGATTTCAAATGTTTCCAGTGTATACCCCTTTGTTCATTACACGCAATATCTGGTTAAGCAGATTTCTTTTGGCTGCGGGTTTGAGCAGACAGAGCAGACACAAAAAGGAAGATAGAAGCACTGATCTGGTAATAATTTCTATGTTGGAGAAGGTGATTCTGCTCTGACTGCCTAATAGCCTTTAGGAAACAAAGTAAAGCTGGGCACAGCAAGTATACTGACCTTTAATCCTCAAACTTGTCTCCCCCAACATGACGCCCATGTTTAAGAGTCTTGGATAGCCACAAAAGAATCTAACTCTAAAGCCGGAGCCATGATGAAGCCTGAGGAAACCATAGTTAGCTCTCTTAGAACACAGGGAACCAAAACAGCTAAAAAAAACTCAGCTTTTTGAGCAATAAACCCTTGAAGTGCAGCTGGTTGACAGCGAGAACCAAGAGAATGTAGCCTCCAGGTGCCAATGCCCTGTTAGGCATTAGCACCTCATTTACTAGACTTTGTTTACATCAAATCTTCAGCAGTTTGAAGCATCAAATCCACTTTGTTTACTGGCAGCTGGGAAGTAATGAAGCAGAACTGATGTCAACCATTCTTTCTTTGTACTATGGGTTTGAAAAAAAAATCATTAGAGTCCCAAAATAAGTAAGAAATGAAGTTTAAAAGCCGTTAAAAACACATGCACATAAGATTATAAAATGTGGAGTTTGAAGTTTAGCCTTAAGTTCATACAGTGAGAGCAGTCACCTAATTACACCATTTCTACAGATGTATCCAACTTAATAATCGTAGCTTTGTTGAGTGAATTATATATTTGTTGAATAGCATTCAGTGGGCCAAGCTGGTAAGAGATGCCTGATTAAAATAGCTTGACACTTGGAACTATATAACTATCCACACATATCAAGGATATAAGCTGCAGTCTGATAAGGTTTGTGCAGCTCAGGTGAGAACAAGTCATTGATTGTGCATGTGGAAAACAAGGCGTCTGTTCAGTAAAACACTCATGGTCCGTCCAATTAGAGCATGCCGGCCACAGCGGCAGCAGCAGATCTCCAGTGGCCCTCCCTCATTGATCTGTTTTGGTCAGGCCCCATGTGATTGAAAAGCTGCAGCCAGTGTTTGCTGAAATGTCTGCAACAGATGAATGAGGGGAAAACAATAACTGTTCTTCTGAAGTGGAAACATTTCCATCTACACTCTTCTTCTTTACATAAAAGCCATCTTTGATGTATTTTTTTCACGTTATCCTTGTTTATAGCTTGTTGTTTCTACACTAATAAATTGTTTTTCGTGGATATGTGACAGAAGGGGTTCAGTCTTATACATTTACATGCTAAATCTCTTTAAGAAATAAAATGCTTTATCATGTGTTATGTTGTTTTTTTTTTCACAACACAAAACCTTTTTAGTTCATCTACTCTTCAATCCCTGCAGGTTTCACCTCATCCAGTGCTGGTAAAACCTGCTATTCAAGCAGCATTATTCACTCATCATAAGCCTGCGTTCACAAATTCAACGTTGGAATAGGAGAGACATGCCTTATTATACCATGATTGTGGAGCAAATTGATGTTTGATTGCTTGCTGTAAATTGTTTTCTACGCTTATCGTTGTTTATTTTTATAGTCCCAGACAGGAGAGGGTTCCACTGAAGCGGAGTTTACTTCTACTCTGGTGGGTTTAAAGTGACACTGGGAAAAAGAAACTTAGTCTGGCTCATCAATAAAGACCTTATAGAAACATTTAGGTGCAAATATCTGAACCCAGTTTGGTCCAAGATTTAGCTACCAGATAGAGTCCGTCACATTTAACTCCAATTCTGTATTATGCAGAGGAGTCCATGGAAGGAACTCATGTATTCTATTTGCAAAACAAAACTTTTTTGCAAAACTTTTCTCCATACATCATAAATACATTACATTTGTTTATGAATACTTGTATTTTTGTTATGAATTCTTTTGTCTCATCTGTCCAAAAGTCTTCTAATATAATTTTGCGAACATGCATTGCATTTTACTTTATTACAAATCAAGCAAATGATACTTGTTAATTCTTGTTTCAATAGACCTTTCATCTCAAACCACCCTTTCATCATTAGAATTATTGAAAAAGTTGTGCTTTATGCCATCTTAACAATGAAAAGCTGCTTGTCATCTTGTCAGGTTTCCATGCCAACCACAGTACAGAGACTGCCCTGATTAAGGTGTTCAATGACATCCTTATAAATTCATACTCTGGAAGAACTACAGTTCTGTTATTATTGGACCTCAGTGCAGCGTTTCATAATGTTGATCACTTGATTTTATTAGAGAATCTGGAAAACTTGGTCTGCCCTTCTGGCACAGCACTGGGCTGGTTTAAATCCTACCTGAAGGATGGGGATTTTATGTACAGAACTTAAAATCAGAGACCAGAGAAATCATATGCAGGGTTCCTTAAAGCTCCGTTCTATGGCCCCTCCTATTCAATATCTTGATACTCCCGTTGACTCTGATTATAGTAAACCACAAGATCAGTTACCATAACTATGCAGACGACACACAGCTTTACATCACAATCTAACCAGGTGACTATGGACCCATCAGAGTGTTGGTTAGATGCTTAGAACAGATCAATATGTGGTTGGACTATAACCTTATACAAATTTATAAAGATAAACTGAGGTAATAATCTTCAGACCAAAGGAGGAGAAATCCAGAGTTAGCTCACAGATTTAGCTACCGGTACTAAGCT